TAGAAAAGCCAATGCAGCTGTGTATTTTCATCAATGGATTGCAGCAAGCTTCTAGAGAATCATTAGATTAATTATCTGGAGGAGCATTCATGATTAAACCTGTGGATGAAGCAATCCAGTTGCTGGAGAATATGTGTGCTAACCATTTCAGATGGCAGAAAAAGCCTAGAGCTACAACTAAAAAAGCAGGAGTGTTGGAGCTAGATGCTACAACCCACTTGCAAGCACAGATGGCGGCCATCTCTAGTGAGATATCAAAGCTGAGAGTTGACATCAACAAACCAAAAGTTGATGTGTGTGAAATCTGCACAAGATCTCAACCCAGCTCTGCCTGTCAAGCCACAGTGGAAGAAGTTCAGTTCATGAGGCAAGGAGATAATAGAGGAGGCTTCAACAGTTACAACAATTGGAGGTCATAGTAGAACAACAACTGGACTAATCAACAGTCAAACTACCAGAGATCAGCTCAACCACCTGGATTTCAGAATCAACCATTCAGAGTGAAGGGACGCATGGATCAAGGTTGGTAATGTTCTTGCGATTCTTGATGCAACTGTGAAAGATATGCAAAATTAGGTTGCACAAATGGCAAGAAAGATACCAGACAGACCTGTTGGCACTCTTCCTAGTGACAAACTGGAGAATCCCAAGAGAAGGGAAGCACATAGCACAGATCAGAAGCCTGAGATGCAACACGAAGAGGTGTTGCAACTGAAGGAATCTAAGTAAGAAGCACATGGTTCTTACTCTAGCTGAATAAACAATTGCCTTTGACTGCTGCAACTTGTTCTCTCCTCTGCTTTGTTGAACAGAAGGCCAGAACTCTACCAATCTAAGCCTCTCCAAATCTCTATAAATAGTCAGCCACTAGCAGTTAGAAAAACGACAGATTGGGTAGTTAGATTTTTGGGTAGTTAGATTTAGTCCAAAAGATAGTAGTTAGGTAGTTAGTTGGTTGGTTAGAAACAGGGTAATAGCAGGAACAAGGCATACTGTCACTCTGTCAAGTGGCAAACACCACTCGCCATTGTGAACAGACAGAAACTGTCCCTGCTACTATCTTCCCTTTCTTTTCTCTAACCTTTTGATTTAGATTAATGTCTTATCTTTTGTACTTGGTTGCTCTCATGCTTAACTCAGTAAGTATGAGTAGCTAACTCAGTTAAAGGTTTAATCCCTACTATCTTTATGTGAAGGTTTTAATTCAGTTTCCTTGATGAGGTGTTTTGCCTAGATAATTGATTTAATTAATCTTTTAATTCATTTGGCCGCTTAATTAAATGTGTTTGCATGGTTATGAAAATCTGGAAGGGGAAGCATAACCTTAGAATTGCTTAATCTAGTCTATGACAATGGAGGAAATCTACACTACGGTTCCAGATATCAATGGAAGGTAGGTGAATGGCATAGGCGATCATAAAGGGCTTAAGAACTCAAATGCCTTAGATTAAATAACACTCTGACTGGGTCGATAATCTAGGACTCTTTATTCTATCTGGAAGGAATTATAAAGATACATAAGTGCCTAACATCTAATCATACAATATAGGAATATCTGAATTAAAACTGGATCATAAAGGTAGGAAGGTGATTGACCCTTCTGCCTCTTCATTCTATCAAGTGACTATTCTCACTCTCCCAAGTGACAGTCTGTTCAACTGTTTTCTTTCTTTTTCTGTACTTTAATCAGATTTTAAGCTGTTGACTGCCGTCCCTGTGGAACGACCCTTCTCACCACTAGCTAATAGTTTTAAGTAGGTTTATAAATTATTCTTTGGGAAGTGGATCAACGACACTACACAAATCCATCCACCAAAGTGCCCATTGATCTCTCTGACATAGCTCTAGCCATTTTACGAAGTTGCACCTCTATGTTGTGTTGATTAGCTGCTAGATAGGTAACCAGGTTATATTTCTAAGTTCCGCCATTTGCTATTCTGTCTTGGAATTTTGAGTGGCAGTCGGCTGGAAACCAAGAGGAACATTAGGCCTTAAGAACCCAGCTGCTTGTGTATTTCCACCCCAAGAGAAATTAGGATGGTTCCTCCAATTAGAGTTATAGGAGTTCTCAAAATTTCCTTGCCCAACATACCAAATCTCTTTAGAATTTAGATGTCAAATATCAACCATATGATTCCCCATGCATAGCTCACAACTCAACACTGGACTTGGCTTATTTAAACTTGCTCGCATCTTTGCAATCTCATTGGTCAATGTAGCAACCTAAGCATGAAGGATGGTGAATGCATCTATCTCATAAACCCCTGATTTCTTAGGTTGCCCTATCATAATTTGGCCAGCAGTATTGATTTTCTGTAATGTTCTCTGGCAAATTCTTGGCATCTTCAACTCCCTTCATCATGAACACTCCCCCAGCTGAAGAATCAAGAGAATTCCGTGAAGCACCCAGCAATCCATCATAGAAGATACCTAGTTGCATGAATTCCTCAATTCCATGTTGTGGACACTTCCTCAATAGCTCTTTGAAGTGTTCATATGCTTCATGCAAAGGGCCATTACTGAAATGGCGAAAAGTCATGATCTTATTTCTAAACCGTGCAGCCTTGCATGGAGGGAGGAATTTGGTCAAGAAGGCTTGGCGAAGCTGATTCCAAGTGGTGATGGAATTTGAAGGCAATGTGTTGAGCTAAGCTTGAGCCTTGTATGGCAAAGAGAACGGAAACAACCGTAGTCTCACATCATCATCTGTCAGCCCCTGAATCTTAAAAGCAAAATTCTAAGAAAGGCTCTAAGGTGGTCATTCGGATCTTCATTTGGTAAATCGTGGAACGGACTTGCAAAGTGCACCCACAGAATCATTCTCAACCTAAGCTCGAAGTGTTGAGCATCAACCTCAGACAATACAACTACAGCTGGAGTTTCCTTGACTTGAGGGATGAAGTATCACGTAGCAACCTTGGTGGTTGCCCTTGATTTCGGTTGTTGTGAGGCTCTCGATCCTGCTCATTATTATTCGTAACGACTCTGTTATGCTCGACTAGAACCTGCTCTTCAGTATCTCCTACTACACTTCCAACCATAGTTGCAGCTTTTCTTTCTTTGTTCAGTCGGCGGAAAGTCTTCTCAATTTCACGAATGCAGAGCACTTCACCTGAAGGATTACTCATGGTCATGAAATAATAATTCAAAGCTCAGATATATGTATGTAACTAATTTTTATTTAACACAGCAACCATAATCAAGTAAACAAGTAAGAAAATACAATTAAGACACAAAAAAAAATAATAATAATCTTCGTCGTCCCCGGCAACGGTGCCAGACTTGATGAGTGCAAAATAGCCCCTTATACTCGCAAGGTTACGATTGCAACTGTAGTAGTGGCAAGGGGTGTCGATCCCAGGAGGACGTGCTAGTTAAATATGTGTTTCCAATGATTTCTTTCTTAGTACGAAGTGACCAAATAGACAAATGTGATTTTTTTAGAGAACCAAACACTAAAAAAAAGTGATTAAACAAAAGATTTTCAAATATGGAGAGAGCAAAGGTTCAATATCAATTTCCAATCCAGTTATCAATTAGCTATTAAACTTATGTGGTGATAAAATGTTAGCCGGTTCACTATTATGTCTCAAAAATTCTTCCAAAGTGAAGGAAACATCTCCACAGCTAAGAACCACTTATATTCCTATGGTAGTACTCAGTGGTGGAGTCATTACATACAAGAACCTACGAGGCTAACCATGTCATGGCAGTATAATTCTATCCAACATGAAACCTTGAACTTTTATGTACAAGTCATGGCCCAAGTTGACGAGCCTAACCAACATAGTCTATTCCTAGATCTATGAAGACTTCATGCACCAAAAAATACGTAATCAAGATAATTGTTTGGAATAAATGAAGAGCAATCAACTTAGACATTCAAATTCACGAACAAATTCAATAACTAATCAACAACTATCATGTACTTTGAAATTGAACCTTGAAGGGTGTTTAGCTACTCATAGTTGAATAAAGAAACTAAAAGATAGAGAGAAAACAAGGAGTTCATGTTCAGAAAGTCGAGAGAAAGGAAACTCTATCAGAGTAATTCGTCGTCAACTTCGATCTTGCTCCGGATCATGTTGTTGAAGTGATCGCCAACCTTTCCCTTGCTTTTTTTCCCTGTAAGGAATCCTAGTAGCCACCTCCAGGTCTGATATCTGTTTTTGGAGCGTAGATAAGGTTTTTATTATGAAAAACCGTGACTCTAGATCTTGGTAAAACTTGCATAAAAGTAGGACTGCGTCTCTCCTTAAAGTGAGTTTGCCTCACTCGGCACAGTGGTCTGGAAAATTCACTTTCAGCAACGTCTTGCTCCGTAGAGTGGTCTGGAAAAATCATTTTATTTATTTTATTTTCTGCAAGATGTGCTAATATTTTTAATAGAGAAAGTCCAGTTTTATTGGCCATAGCATAGTTGGCATCTGGCAAGTGTGGACTTTGTGGGCATTAAATAGGTGGAAGGAAGTATAGATATTATAAAAGTGGTACGAGTTTAAAATTTATAAGAGATAATATTATAAAGTGGTAACACAATGTAATGCTTATTAATCTGTTAAACGGACAAGGTATGTGGTAAGAAGACTATCAACTCAATCCAGAGCGGTAATTATTTATTGGATTTGGAAGATTATTTGGGATTAATTGTGCCTCTCAATCTAAGGTGACCTTGTGGTGTTATAATTGTTGGCTTGTAACTCTTCTTTCTTGATTTATTGGACTTGCCAATGAGGATGCATTTGCATTGTTAATTATCCTTCTAATCACACTATAAATCACTTTTTGTCCTTGTCCAAATATAGCGTCTTTTTAACAATGCATTTGCATGATACCAATCCTTGATTCCTTTCATAAGTGTTTGTACTTGTACTTTGTTTGTGTTGAAAATGGCGGTCAAAGATATAATGAAAATGTAAAAGGTTAATTTAGAAAATATAAAAATATTCATTTAAGAAATCACGTTCACAAAATATGTATCATGCATACAGCATACAATTGTCGAACTAATATATAAACGTTTCCTCAGGAAAAAAAAAAGAAAAGAAAAGAAAAATTGTCATATTTTTTGAATTATACTATGACGGATGAAGAAGTCGAAGATGGGTCGAGAATCAGCAATGTGGCCATTTTTGTTGCTTCATAATCCTTATGTGTAATCCCTTTGGCGCTTGAACCCTTGGAAATTGACTAATCTTCTGTTCTCCTATTTCTTCCCATCTGTATGAATAACAAAGTAATATTCAAAAAAATTATTTACATAAATATACTCGGGCCTCTTTTTTTCTCTTTAAAGACTAATTAAAATTGTAATTACCTGTATTTGATTACAAAATAATGAAGAAACATGGATATAGTAACTATTCCCAATTCCTTTCCTGGGCATAGTCTAGTTCCTCCTCCAAATAAGAATTGGTAATTATGGGACTCCAAGCCTTTATCCTACATTAGACCGGTAAAAAAAAAAGTCACTTTCTGGTATATCAAATTGAGTTGTCATGTTATAATCATAATATGAAGTAAAAATATTATTTGTGTCACTCTTGTTAATTTGCTAAATTGTATTATCATGTCAAAAAAAAACAAAACAAACAAAACATTTCAACATACTTGCAGCCATCTCCATGGATTGAACTCGAATGGCTCCGGATACAGAATTGGATCATAATTAATTTCTCTTGTGAAGGCATAGATTTTCCATCCTTTTGGTATGTAAAAACCTGAGCCACAATTCAAAATTTAGGGGAAATAAAAAAGAAAAAAGAGGAGAAAAAAAGTCAGATATGATTGCCTTGAAACTTGATAGTGCTTAACCCAACATATAAAATGACATTCTTATTCCGATTTTATTTTTTCCTTTTGTATACAAAATCGTGTTATATTAAAAAAAAACAGGAAAATGATAAGTAAAGTGAAATATCATAGTGACTTTGGTGTAGTGACTGATGTGAAAAAAAATGAGATAATTCTATCGATAATAAATTTTTTAAACATGTTAGGTTGTGATCACATAGTTATAAATACAATAATATACATTAACGAAACACAACTAATATACAAAAAAATTCGACTAGAAATCTAATTTAAAAAAATATTATTCTTATGCACTTATATGAATCCTTTTTATCATTACTTTCGTTTCATTTGTTATTTTTAAAAAGATTTGAAAACCTTTACCATTTAACTCCATGTCATTGGTTGCCTTCCTCAGTAGGCCATTTACAATGGTAGCCAATCTCATGGTCTCAAATATGACCTGCAAGAGAAAATTGGTCCGAATCAAAACATAGTTTCTCTTTTTTTATACTTCATCCGCTTCAAAAAAAAAAAAAAGTTGGTGATATATTCTATTTTTCTGGTGCAAAAAAAAAGTGTTTTCTTCGTTCAAAAAAAAATTCACGTTAAACTTTGAACTATTTTTTTGAGACACGGAAAGTATTAAATATAAACTATTTTTCTACACAATGGACCTATGGGGCTATGACTCACAGCACGAGTGAAGCTCATTCTTTTGTAAGCTAACCAATCAATTGGCTCATCAGGTGATTTGTCTTGACGAATCATAATATGCTCATCCTGCAAGTATAGTTAAGATAACAATATAGGTCTTATTTATACTTATATATTTAGGAAGATATATAAAAACAATGAATTTTTTTTTTTTTTGGCTAAAGAAAATACGTAAACGTAATTTGCATTAATAAATCTGATTACCCTGAAAAACTAAACGCATTAACTAATTTGTTTTACCATGAGTTCTTCCAAAGCATTTGGATGATCACCAAGATATTTGATAGCCATCATTGTTGTAGTAGACACAGTTTCATATCCAGAATTTAGGATCATTATTATCTGATCATAAATCTCCTCATCGTTGAGTTTATAATTGATTGAATCATCATTTGATAATAGCCAATTGAGCATGTCACTTTGTTCAGTCGAGGTCGTTGAGGGGACTCTTCTGCTCTGTATAATTCGTTTAAGAAGTTTGATAATTTTTTTCCTAGCCTGTAAATCAATAATAAAACAGTTGGTCATCAGTTTTATACGGATTGGAATGTTTCTCTTTAAAGAGACTAAATTGGAAAACAAAAGACATTTCTTCCTATGATATATGAACACTTGATTATATCTCTAATGATTGAAATGATAAATTATACTCCCTCTGTCCCAAAATTATTGTCCAGTTTGAGATTTCACTTTTAGTATAATTTGAACTAAAAATGAAAACTTAAACTGGACAATAATTATGGGATGGAGGGAGTACTTCTTTCATCCAGAAAAAATACTTCATATTAAAATTTGTGAATGATATTATAATGTATATCATTTTTGTGAGACATACCTGCATTCAAATTGGCTGAAAGAAAGATGCAACATAAATAAATGTCATTTTTTTTGTAATATTATCTTCCACTTAAGAAATGCTATAGTTAGTGGGTTGACTTCCCAAAGGTGAATTAAGAAAATTTACGGGCAAAAATTTGCTACTTGGAATCTTTGTTTCCCCTCCTTTCCACATTTATAAATTTTACACCCTCCGGTTCTTAATATAAGGCAATTTGATTTGCCTATATATCACCTAATACGTATTTTTAATCGAAAAAAAGACTTTAACAATATATTTTCACATTCATTGTGTTTTCTTGATTGTTAGGAAATATTTTTAAGAATTTTTTGTCAATGAAAAATACGTATTATGTGAAATTTGACAAATCAAAATGTCTTGTATTAAGGATCAGATGAAGTATATGGAAGAATCTCTTTATAGTGAGATTCGAATCCAAATCTACATGGATAACTCTCTATTCTGTAATTACATTCGATTCTCATGCGGCTTGCAGGGGTTCTCAAACCTTTCAAATCACTAATCGAGAGGATTTTCTTCGTGTTATTGTACTGTCAATATTACTTCCTCCGACCTATTTTAATAATTCATTATTTCACCTTATTGTGTTGTCAGTTTAACAAAATGCATTATTAAAGTGAAAGCGAATAATTTTCAAATAAGGTCCTGTTTATGTAACACATCTAACATTAAAAATTGAATTTGAAATCATAGAATAAAGGAAACAAAGCATACATTATTTTATGTACCTGAAATCCTCTATAATAACTTGTTCCTGGAAGCTTGATGGGCAGCGAAATTGTTCCTTCAACCAATTGATCAAATTCTTCTTTCATAGATTTATAAACTAAACTCGATTCGTCATCCTCCAAAATCTGCTTGAACGCTAGGAAGAACGCCATCTAAACACAAAAAAATATGAACCACAAATTAACTTACAATTTAATTTTTAAATTAGGAAAATTACATAATTTCGTCGATCAATAATTCAGTCAATGATCAAATGATTGAAGCCATACGAAATGAGATTTAATCTAACGGATTTGATAATTAACTAAATCATTTAACCGATTGAATTATTTTCATTCCAAATAAAGTAACCATTAATTATAGCCACGTAAATTTAAGTACATTTGAGTTGATAAAATGCTTGTATGTAAAATTTAATTACCTCCTGGGATTTTTCTTGAATGTCAATGATTTTGCCCTCCCAATCTTGAAGAAAGAGCCTAATATACTTATCAATCTTGGGCAGCAATTGTTCTCTCACTGCAGCAGGCCCAATAAGAGACATAGCAGCCCCTCTAATTTGCTTGTGTGGGCCTCCAGTTACAGCAGCAATATTATGTCTACCTAATATGTCCAAAATTGATTGTGGATATCCAGGTACAAGCCCTTTTGACTCATTCAGAAATATATATCTGTTGAGCTCAGGGTCCATTGAAACAATGGTTGGGCTTCCCAGTAGGTGAGATTTGAAAATATTTCCATATCTAAAGAACAGAAATTAAATTAAATACATCAGTTAATCAAGTTTATGGAGAAAAAAAAATTCACTTCGTCTCAAAATTTGTCCAGTTTTGATGCAATAAAAACAGTAATACTAGAAAATATCGGCAAATAGTATTGAATGAATTGGGTAATTTTGTACTTCTATCATATCTTGATTTTTAGTGAGAGTACTAAAACACCTGTTCTAATGCAAGATCCGCACCCTGCGTTATGACAACATGATTATTAATTTGTGAGAATCTGATTTGTTTATTGGAAAGGAAAATGATAGAGACAATTAAATTCTGAAATCATCCAAATTGAAATACTAAGTTTATTTGTAGGTCGTTTTTACAAAAAAATGATATTACTGTTTCTCACATCACTCGAATTAAAATTCTAAAAATCAATCATATTTTTTGTATTCAAATGTAAGCACATATATTCACAAGTTTAATTTACAATCACGGTTCTAAATAAAAACAATACATAGGAGGTTGTGATTCAATGAAACGGTAAGCAGTCAGCACCGAATTGAAAAAATTTAGAAAACTATTTTCCTCCGTATATAATTCTTTTACATCTTAAATCTTAATAAACTGAGTCAAAGAATGAACAACAATATTTTCCGGACATCTTAAAGCAAAGTGATCCACATTTCACCGGTAAATCATCCCCGAGAAACAATATGCACAAATAGAAAAAAAATGAAGAGATGTCTAACCTTCCTCTTTGCTTTTTCATAAAATTTGGTCCTTCCTGGAGAAATTTGATTGTTTCACCCAAAACTGGCCATCCCATAGTGCCAGGAGGCAGCCCTTTTCTCCCATATCTAATCTCATTCCAATTCAACAGCAAGAAAAAGATGCAAAAAGTACCCGAAGCTAACAAAACTAAAGCTGTCAAGAACTCCATGGTTGTGCGTATTAAAGCGTTTGGGGAAAAAAAGAAAAGAAAGATTTTTAACAAGTTACACAAGACTTAAGGGAAAATTTATAAATAGGATCAAAATTTATGAACAATGATATGCACTTATGGGTATTAATTGAAAGAAATGCCAATCTAGGTGGTTTCTTCATGCGGTGATACACAACGTAATCTACTACGAATATCTTGATGTAATCTGCCAATTGTCATCATTGTATTAATATAATAACATAATTTTTCAAAAAGAATAAAAATTTAAAAAAAAAAAGTAAAATAACATGATGTTTACACGTGGTTAAACGAAATTTCCTGTTTACATATCACTTTATAAATCTTTTTTTAAAAATCAAATTAAAGTCATCTAGTTACCTTATTTTAGTTAATGCAAAAACCATAACTGATTATTGTCAAGTGCTTAGGAAAATTGTTAGATACAAGTGGTAAATTTACGATCTTAAAACTGATACAAGATTTGTTTTTTTATAAAAAAAAATAATAATAATAAAAAGAAAAAATCTTAGTTGCATGTGGACTTTTTTTTTTTAATCCTTTTTTGAGCTACTCAAAACCTCATAAGTATAGACTTTTTTCAACGTTGGACAAATCAGTTTAAATTATGGAGGATCCGCACCGTTACGGATCCACTAGCCCAAATTAGCCCACAAGCGTTTTAGAATGTATATTTCTTCCATCACTTGGTTTAGCAATTTCTGCCTACCTTTTTGGCCCATTTTAGCAATTTCCTTATAAAGTCCAACTTGAACGATTTCATCCAATACCATTTTCTTTTCCTATTTTTCTTCTCCGTTCTGCCGACTGCAGTCAACCATTTTCACCACTCTATTCAACTCTTATATTCGCGTAACTATTAAACTGTATCAAAACTATTAAACTGTCCTATAATTATTGTCTAATTTACCAAAAATATTTTGTCCCAAAATTATTATCCGATTTAACTTTTTATGAACTAAATTACACATATATCCTTTAAGTTTTTTTTAAGAAAACTATTAAACTGAAATATCTTTTCTCCGTTATTTCCAAAACACAAGAACGCACAATAGCAGCAAACGGTTGTTCTCCGACGGCACCAAACAGTGATGAAGATGTGGTGGCCAGGTAGTACTCGAAAAGGAATTCGGCGAAGAAACTCCGACAAATTTTGACGACTCCAACCAGTAGCCATGGATTCGAAGGATGTTGCCCGCAAAATGGAAAAATAATTTGCATTCAAGGAGCATCCAATTGAAACTCAAAGTAAAACTTTCTCCAAATTCAAATCAATTCTCCGAAAATTTAGTTTGATTAGCACAAACAATGATCTCCAATTGAAGACTCTGTTTGATTTAAAAATTTATCGATGAAATAGAAGAATTACCTTCGTAAATACCAAATTGAAACAAAATAAGAAGATTCTTCGAATTCAAAGTTCTTCACATTGGTTTGATTCTGGCTAGGTGCTGACTGAAGAACAAACGAAACAATTGTTGCCTTTAGAATCAGACTTTGGATCTGGGAGTTAAAATAAAAAAAAAAAGTAAGTGAGTTCTTTTCCCCAAATCTTTGGAAAGGGGGTTTTCCCAAAAAAAATTAAATAAAATAAACGTGGACAAATTTAAATTTTTCAGAATATTTGTGGACAGAAATATATTGCTCGGATTTCTGAAATCCGAGTTTTGATTAATATTAGAGATTCGGATTTTGCAAATCCGGCTTTATACTTAATAATAAAATAATAATTTCATAAATTTTGATGAATAATAGTTTTTTTAGTTCTTAAATGAACAGTTACGCTCGGATTTGTAAAATCCGAGGTTATTTAAAAATTAATAAATCGCGGCACGAAATTTTTGAATCCAACAAACCGGAAGTCCGTAATCCGGTTTGACGAATTCGGATTTGCGAAATCCGGATGCCTTTAATTTTGGTTGGTGGAAGTAGGCATGTGCCTTAAATTGGAGGACCAAAAAATTAATAAAATAATCTTGAATTGACTAAATCCGGATTTAGGAAATCCGAATCCAACGTAACTCGGATTTCGAAAATCCGAGTTACTTACGGACTCGGATTTTTGAAATCCGAGTTTAACGTGCTATAAAAGAAAAAAAATTTCAGACTGCGTTGGATTTTCTGTTTTTGCAGCTCAAACAAGGGCGAATTGAAGTTTTTGATGCATTCTTGCCTCTAGATACGTGGAAATCGTTATTTGAAAGAGGTTAGATTACAAAACCATGTTATTTAGTTTATTTTTGTGTTATTTTTGATTGTTAGAATGATGTATGATAGATTAGGGTTTATGTTGGTTGGTTGTTTGGATGTTTTAGGTGTTGATTTTGTGGTTTAGGGTTGAGAAATTATAGTTGTTCATGAGATATCGAAGTTGATTTATAAGTATTTTAGTATGGTGTATTTGTTGGAGTATGTATGGTGTATGGTGTATGGTGTATTTTAGAGAATGTATGGTGTATTTTGTTGATTTTGTTATTAAGAAATGATTAGTTATTGATGTTTTTTTTAACAGTTATCAATGGCACGTAATGTATCATACATGCTTAATTTGTATCATACAAGTAAGTATGTGATAGAGAACGGTAGCATCAACACTTTTTCGAATACGCCGGATGATGGTTTGTTTGTCGAAGAAAGGTTGTCATATGAGGGATTGATTAGTAAGATTTGTATGACCCTTGGTTGGGATCCAGCATACGTGAAACTCCACCTTTCTTTGATTTTCGATAGTCCCGGTGGTAGGCATGTAGTGAAGATCAAGAATGATTCGCATGTAGAGTTCATGAACCGTGTAGATCCAATGTCATGTTTGGATTTATACATAGATTTGGAAGATATCACTCAAGAAGAAAGATAAACGAGTTTGGAAAACGTGTCATTTGGTGATTTTCGAAGAGGGGAACGTGCTAGTACTTCTCGAAACCGTGATGAAGAGGAGACACCTTTATTTGCACAAAATGACTACCGGGAAGAGTCGGATTCCGACTACATAGCTCCAAGTGAAAGCGAAGAAGACTGTGATGTCTCCGGAGAGAGTGATTTTGAAGAAAGTGATGATGAAAGGTTGGAAAATGAGGAAAGGGATTGTAATCTATTCGATCGACGCCATGTATATAGTAAGATGGGGAACTGGGATGCCTCATGTGTAGACAAGGATGAGTTTGCTCTTAAAATGTGGGATGAGACGCCCGAAGGAATGGACATTGGTGTTTGTTTCAAATCTCAATCAGAAGCAAAGCATGCTGTGAAATTATGGAACATCCATCATAAAAGGGAATATACGGTCGCCGCGAGTAGTCCAAGAACGTGGGCTGTGCGGTGCAGAACATTTAATGTGGAAAGTGAGGATGGTGAACCACCATGTGAGTGGAAGATGCGTGTGTCATTGAAAGCTCACGGCCTTCATGAAATTGTGAGATGGCATGATGCACATAATTGCATGACTCCTGTGAATGATAATGACAATCGGTGTGTGGACGCGTCTTTGATTGCTAGACTCATCAGGAGAAAGGTTGAGGACAACGTAGATTATACGGTAGCCTCGGCACGTAAAGATGTGAAGACCTTATTGAAAGTAGATGTGCCATACAAAGGGCGTGGCACGGGAGGAGGAAAGCCATAGAAGCGGTCTATGGTGATTGGACCTCCAATTTCGAAGAACTTCCACGGTAAATATCAACTTTTATCCGTGTATTGAAATATTTATAGTATTTTTATTTTTACATGTATTGAAATATTGTAACAATGACTTGTTGTTGTTTAGGTATATCGCTGCGCTTAAGTTTACTAATCCTGAGACTGTAGTAGAGTGGGAATGGAAGGAGGGACAAGAAGGTTGGAACAGGGGAAACCGGACATTTAAATACGTCTTCTGGTCATTTGCACCGGTGGCTGAGACGTTTTTTGAATGTCCACCGGTCATTTGTATCGATGGAACCTTTTTGCGTGGTGGATACAAGGGTAAATTGCTTGTTGCGGTGGTGTATACCGCAAACAAGCACATTTTACCGGTTGCATTTGCGATTGTTGATGAGGAGACAGAGAGAGTTGGACATTTTTTATGAGAAATTTGAGGTTGTGGGTTGTGTATGATAGAATCGTAAGTGTGATATCCGACCGGAATGCAGGGTTGTTGAGCGCAATGTCACAGATGGATGAATGGCGTGATTTAGGTGATGGTGGGCACTTTCTTTGCCTCCGCCACGTTCGCAGCAATCTTGTGTCGCGATATAATAGCAAAAAGGTGAAGCGGTTATGTTGGAAGATGGGCACGACGCTTTCAAGAGTGAAATACAACCGTATGAGGGCATAGCTTATTGAATTCAAACCTGCTGCATGGGAGTATCTTCGAGGGATTGGGGGGAGTAACTGGGCTCGATTGAAAGCCGGTCTTCGCCGTTGGGGCATAGCGACAACCAACATTTCTGAGAGTTACAACAATGCGTTGAAAGGGATCCGTTTTTTACCAATTAGAGCCTTGATCGATGCAACCTTTTGCAAAACTGTTAAATTCTATAGAGAAGAACAATTGTATGTGAGAAATTGCATGACACCGATCCCTCCTGAGTTATGGAAAAAATACGAGAAAATGAATGATAAAGCAGCCAGTTTTGAAGCCACTCCTTTCGATGGTGATGATGCTATGTGGCGTGTTGTTACTGCCACACGCCTAAGTGGCAGGGGTGGGTCTCTGCATACGGTGAACTACGATGAACATAGGTGTTCGTGCAGGAAGTGGCAAGAGTACCGGATGCCTTGTACGCACGCACTCTAAGTTTGTCGGAGAAAAGGGGATCGGCCTATTGATCTATACCATAGTGTGTGGCGCCTTCCAACGTGGCGCAGACAATTTCATTATACGGGCTTTGTTCCGGTTCCCGATGAGGAACAATGGCCGACGGTCAATTGGAACATCATTCAATTATGAGCGTCTTGTGTTGCATGCGGGACCGGGACGAAGACAAAAAGGAGACATAGAATGCAAATGGATTACGGGGACGCCGAGCCGGGGAATGTTGGAGATGTGGACAACTAGGTCATGATGCCAATTCATGTCCGTTCTCGCACCCAGGAGTAGATAGAAGACCTGTGAATGACAGCTGGAATTGAGTGTAATTTACTATTCTTGCAAGTTATTTAGTGTTTGATAAATTTATGTGAACATTGATAAATTCGGATTATAATGTGAACATTGAATTTTTCGGATTGTAAAGTGTGATGAAATATGTACTATTTTTCATAACAATACATCGGATTGTGCAAAATACTCATCATTGTAAGGTAATGTGAAGGATTCGAATTTCCGAAATCCGAGCTCAGAGTTTTTTTTAGAAATTGCAAAGGACTCGGATGTCTGAAATCCGAATGGGTGAAACCCATCCGAGAGTTGCAATTTGAGGAGAAACAGGGGAGATTCGGATTTTGTAAATCCGAGCTCAGAGATTTTCTTGAATTTACTAAGAACTCGGATTTAGGAAATCCGTGTTTATGAAAAGCATCCGAGAGTTGCAATTTGAGGAGAAACAGGGGAAATTCGGATTTTGTAAATCCGAGCTCAGAGACTTTCTCGAATTTACTAAGCACTCGGATTTAGGAAATCCGTGTTTGTGAAAAGCATCCGAGAGTTGCAATTTGAGGAGAAACAGGGAAAATTCGGATTTTGTAAATCCGAGCTCAGAGACTTTCTCGAATTTACTAAGCACTCGGATTTAGGAAATCCGTGTTTGTGAAAAGCATCCGAGAGTTGAAATTTGAGAAGAAACAGTACTAACTCGGATTTCGCTAATCCGAACTCAGAGTTTATTTTTAATTTGCAAAGGACTCGGATTTCAGAAATCCGTGTATGTGAAACCATCCGAGAGTTGAAATTTGAGGGAAATAGGGAAGACACGGATTTAGCAAATCCGAGTTTGACGGGACTATATATTGTTCCGTCAACTCTTCCCTTCCCATTTTTCCCCCAATTCCAGAATTGAAAAACCCTAAAACTAAACTCCAATTAAACAAAAATCCGGCTACTCCCACCACTCAATCCGGTGACTCCCTCCACTCCCTCCGTGATTTCCGGCGACTCCCACCACTCTCCGGCGACTCCATATCCGGCGTCTCTCCTCCCTCTGGACAATCCGGCGTCTCTCCTCCCTCTGGATAATCCGGCGACTCCTTGCAATCCGGCGACTCCCTCCGAGACTCTCCACCTCCGGCGACTTCCTCCACTCCTCCCGACTTCCTCCATTCCTCACTGTAAGTTTGAAATTCGCGATCCTCTCTTTAATTTTTTTTTGTCAAAATTTTTTTTTTCTTTGTGAAATCCGAGTCCTTTTTTTTTTTGAATTGTGGTTGGTTTGTGTTGATATAGTGTTTGTGTTGAATTTAAATTGTGTCTATTGTGAATTGCTTATAGATGTGGTGTTGATATAGTGTTTGTGTTGGATTATCGTTGTGTAAATAGTGAAATGTATATAGTAGTTTGGTAGTGTTGTTTATTTGTTTGTTTATGGTTTGGTTGATTTGTTTTTTTGGCCGAGTGTACATCGTTTGGTTGATTTGTTATTTGGCCGAATGTATATAGTTTGGTAGTCTTGTTTATTTGGCTGAATAATTTGAAGTTTGGTTGATTTGTTTTTTTGGCCGAGTGTACATCATTTGGTTGATTTGTTATTTGGCCGAATGTATATAGTTTGGTAGTCTTGTTTATTTGGCCGAATAATTTGAAGTTTAGTTGATTTGTTTTTTTGGCCGAGTGTACATCGTTTGGTTGATTTGTTATTTGGCCGAATGTATATAGTTTGGTAGTCTTGTTTATTTGGCCGAATAATTTGAAGTTTGGTTGATTTGTTTTTTTTGGCCGAGTGTACATCGTTTGGTAGTTTTGTTATTTGGCCAAATGTATATGGTTTGGTAGTCTTGTTTATTTGGCCGAATGTTTATGGTTTGGTTGATTTGTTTTTTTTTTGTTACCTTGTGTAGGATTGAAATGGCGACGCCGGTATCGGGCTCCCAATATGACTATCAACCTAAACATCTTCACCCGGGACCTATACAAGATAAAATGCTATATCGTCAAACAAAGCATAGGTCCCAAGCTGTCTATGAGAACAGGATACCGGACATTAAGACATTCCGCCTCAAGGGCCGTAGGTACGACAGCGATTTTTGGGCGTTATATAAAAATACGGCACCGGAGGTTAAGGAAGTCATTAGGAGAGCCGGTTTTGAGGGGATCATGAAGGTAGGGTACAAAAGAGTTGATCTAGGCCTCATTACCGCGTTGGTGGAACGGTGGAGGCCAGAAACCCACACTTTCCATTTTAATTTCGGAGAGGCGACGGTGACGCTACAGGACGTCGAGGTCCTGTTTGGTATTCGGGTGGATGGTGACCCGGTGTACGGCACGACAGTTAGCCGGACTGCAGATGAATGGAGGGATCGATGTGAGGCTTATTTGGGATTCCGACCGGCGATTGTAAATGGCCAATGTGTCAATGTTGGTATTTTCAAAGATGAGATGAGCCGTGCACTACCTTCAAATTCCACTGTCCATCGATTCGAGCAAAGGGCCAGGACACTTATACTGCATTTTATTAGCAGTTTCATGTTTCCGAACAAGACGCAGAACACTGTCAATCTACAGTTCTTGGCCCAGGTTGAGGATTTGGATCAGTGTAGTCGATACAGTTGGGGATCGGCACTGCTGGCTGGGTTGTACTCTGGCCTATGCGAGGCATCACAGTATACCATGCACGACGCCACCGGGTGTCTATATTTGCTACAGGTACGTATTAGTTTTCATATTGTGCTTTAATTATTTTGCGCTTTCGACGTTATAATTTGAAGTTTCTACATTATTATTGCAATTTACTAGGTATGAGCGTATGAGCGGATCGAGAGGATCGCGCCCCAAAGAAAAGGAGTAGATTATTTGCTTGATGAGACCGCTCCATTAGCTCGGCCGGTACGTATTTTCAGTTCAAAATAACTCAACGTTTAATTCTATTTGTTTCTTATTCATTTATTTCACTAATTCAAATGTACCCTTTGTTTATTAAGGTGGGAATGTAGGTACACGTACGGCGACGCCCCAAGGAGCAGCACTCCACCGTTTAGAGATCAATTAACAAGTCTGCGTGTTGAAGATGTAAGTACTTGTAATTTGGTATTTATATTTACTTTGAGATCAATTACCCCTTTCTTTTGGTTTCGGTTGTACCATCTAATGAAATTTTTTTCGTGCAGTTTCGGTGGCAACCATATGCACATGTCCTCCATAGACTCCCTGATTTCTGTACACAAGGCCAAGCCATTTGGACGACTAGGTGTTAGATGTTCTGTTGGGCTATTAGGGAACCCCACGAGTCGGGCAGAGTTGTAAGACAATTTGGATACATACAGGATGTTCCCAAGCGCCCCATGATTAAAGATAACGCAGCATTTCTTCTCGATCACGCCCACAGTATGTCTGGGTATCCTAGCAATAATTAGGAGGATCACCATTCCGTAGTACGCCGTCATTGGAATAGGAGAGAAGAGTTCGTGCTACGAGATTTGGAGGAAGGAGATCCTGGTTCTGTATATGAGGGGTACTATGAATGGTTTATGGTGAACACTGTCAGATTGATATCCAATCCCGATAATTATGAACCTCAAGGATACGAGACTTCTTCAAGCCGCGTGAAATTATATGTGAGTTAATTGTAGATTTTTTTTATTATTTCTTATGTTTCCATTTTTTTTTTTCATTTTTTTTAGAACTTTACTCTCTTAATTAACGTCCCAATTTCTTTTCAGGGTGAAGTATTGAACAACATTCGCGTGAGTACCGAGAGGTTTAGAGAAAAACGAGAAGATGATAATCTCCTAGACGAAGAACTTGACAAGCATTTGGACGATATCATCAATCAAACACATGCTGCTTTAACCTTGGGCGCAAATGATGAAATGGAGGTGGATGATACCCAAATCCTGGTTGATGAAGATCCATTTTTTCCCTCAAAACCTCCGCCGGGTAAAAAAGCGAAACCGTAGTCAAGAGATAAGATTGGAGGAGGAAGAAAGAGAAAGGTCACAATCCCCCCTCGGACATCGCAACAACAAACTGAGGGTCAACAAAATGAGGATCAAGCACATTCCTCTCGAGGCTCGCGCATCCAGGTCGAGACTCATTTTGAAGAAGCTGGTGGACCCGAGACTCAGTTTGACATTGGTGGACCCGAGACTCAGTTTGACATTGGTGGACCTGAGACTCAGTTTGGTGGACAGTCGCAACTACAACCGGGAGTCAAATTTATCACCATGGGGGAGTCCCAATCTCAACCCCAAATCGAGGCTCAGTTTGGTGGACAGTCGCAACCACACCAAAGTTCAATACTCACATATCTTAAGAGGGAGACAGGATCCGACAGGGCCCAAACAAATACACTCCGGATGCGCACAATAAAGGAAAAGGGAAAAAATGAGACATTTCATTATTTTGGACATTTATAGTAGTTTTTGTATTGAACTTTTTATGAAACTTGATTTATTTTGTTGTTAATCGAATGCCGTTTATTGTTTTGTTGTTATTAAATTCCTATTTTCCAATGTTTCATTGTTGTTGGTGCTGTAAACATGTTTAGGACTGGTGAAAATCACCCAATTTTTTTCGCTTCGACAAAGACTCGGATTTGCGAAATCCGAACCCGGACTTTTCTAAAGGATTCGGATTTGAAATCCGAGTCCGTGGCCAACCGGGAGTCACCATTTTTCAGAAACGAGCAGATTCGGATTTCGGTAATCCGAGTTCGCCCGAATTTAATTTTTCAACACATTTTTTTTATAGTATCCGGAAATTAATATTTTATTCATAAAATCGGATTTATAAAAGCCGGATTTAGATTAATTACACTAATTTTTGTCATTAACTTAATTTCAAATTTACGTAATACAAAGTCGGATTTTAATAATCCGAGTTTAGTTGGGGTCGGATTTCCGAAATCCGAGTTTTCCCCCCATTCGGATTTCCTAAATCCGGGGCATATAAATTTGTCCACAAGGTTTTAAAAAGCTTTATTTTTGTCTAGGTTTTTTTTTTAACATATATTTAAGGAAAAAATTCAATCTTTAGTCAGTTAAATCATTCGTTTGTGTAGGGGTGTATGTGGAAGTTTATGTCAAAATTTGATTAAGTTTGATCAAAAATAAAATCTTGTAACTTAACAAAATAAAACAATAATTTTGGAATGGAAGGAGTACTTCATTCCTTGCATATAATTCTTGAACTTTATGTTCACCATTCCCTTATAGATATATTGATCTCTTATGTATACATTTAGTAAACTTTCTTGGGAAAATGGGTCTTTTCATCCCAAAGTTTGGGTCACACTATCCAAAACATCCCAAAGTTTAAGAACATGCTATTTACATCCCAAACTTTTTAAAAACATGTTACATTAGGATATTCGTTAAATTTTTAACTCTAATTAATTAATTAGTGGTGGTACTTTATTAATTAATCATTTAACACGTTTAACTAACTCCCACCTTATAAGAAAATAGCTAAACCTAATTTGGTCATCACATCATCCATTCTTCCCTTGCTTAGAAAAAGAAAAAAAGAATCTAAGATTCACCTTCTAGATTGATAACAATCATGAGAGGTTTTGTGTGTGTCCTAATTAGAAAGTAAGTCCTATTTCAATTATTTTTTTTAAATATGTAGCATCATTATAAAAATTGGTGTTGTAATTGATGCAGGGGCATGCAACTTTTTTGCTTGGTATGGACCAAATTTACGAAACGCAAGCGTGAAACTTTTTTGACTAAAAAAAAATTAGGGGAAAAGAAACTAAATGAAATATTACCGTTAATAACTTAAAAAAATTAACAAATGTCCTAATATTACATATTTTTAAAAAATTTGGGATAAAAATAGCATACTTTTAAACTTTCGGATGTTTTAGATGGTGTGGCTCAAACCTTGGATGAAAAGGCCATTCTCCCAACTTTCTTTTACCATTCTTTTCAATTCTGTATTCATCTGTTTAAGTGTATTTCACTGATAAACTACATCTAAACTGCTTAAATTTTATCCTCCGATACATATCAACACTCAACCTTATTCTCATCATTCTTTTCTACTCTTTATTGATCTTTTAGAGTGAATTAAACTAATAAACTACATCCAAATTTCTTAAGTTTTATCCTCCTTTGATCCAGTCTAAACTGTCTAACAGTCAACTCTCTTTTCGCCTTTCTTTTCAACACTAGATTGATCCTTTTTAAGTGTATTTCACTAGATAAACTGCGTGAAATAGCTTACATACTCCTTCCCTCACATATTATATTAATAGTCACCTCTGTTATTCGGAGAGTTCAAAAAACTATTTAAAAAAAAAAAAAAAAGGAAGATGAGAGTTTCTGAGGACATATTCACATTTGCTCATTGCTTTCTAGAGTTTGGTACATTACACTGCAACTTGCCCTCAAGCCTAAAACTGATAGACCCTAGTAGGAAGTGAGAACACAATCACATGAAAACAAAACCAAACTCCAATCTACCAACATTTTCTTTAAGGTCTCTGTTGTTCTTCTCCTTCTTCTTACTTTCCTTTGATGCTGACTGAATTTAACATCTCAATGCATTGGAATTGATCCACCAGCGGCCAAAACTTGCTTCTCCATCTACATTGCAACATATACAAAAATCAGAAAAAAAAAAAGGAAAAAAAATCTTCTGAGAAATACAATTCACTACAGAATCAGAGTTAAAAGTGTACAGTAGCACATTTGATTACTACCTGGAACATTGTCTCAAGCTTTCTCTTCACCAGTGAGTATTCATGCCTTATGAGTTGAAGACACCTTAAGCATCTGCACATCAAGGTAAATGTCAGCTTGTTTAAGCGAAAATCTTCCCACACATTGCAATATATGTCGGAAAACATTTCGCGAAACAGGGAAAGTATTGATTCAGAAATCTCACGCGTCATTGTTCTGCTCCTCACAATAGTTGCGGAATGCAATGCATACTCTCTGAACTCTTTGGGCACCAATGCTGCACAAAAATTTTACCTCAAAAGGGTCAAATGAGTACTCACAATTGCGTTAAATTAGCTATTTCCTATTTAACAAAAGAGATGCATTTGATGGAAAAAAAAATTGAAATCAACTGAGCAATAATCTCAACGAACATGCAGTCAACCATATCAGATCTCTTATGGCAATTCCCTCCCTCCAAAATCATCCAGAATAAACATCAAACCACCCATTTTCGCTCATAAAAACGTCAAAATCATATCTTGGAAAGAGAATAAATAGAGCAGCAAATTAATCACCAAATTATATTATTAACCCTACTGCAATTTAGTACCTTGAACTGCTACCCTTCAACTGATGAACATGGGCATCAATTTTTCTGAAATCCACAATGGGTTGACTCCTGCACGATTAAAATTTTTCCAAAACCCAATTTGTAAAAGAATCCCATCAAAAGTACGCGGAAATATTGGAAAAAGAACAAATTAAATGAGGCCACTCACAGGGTTTTTGTGAGTTCATTAAGAAGCCTCTCAGAATCCTCGAAGAACAGATTGACAACTTCAAATACAAAATCAGGGCTGCTCTCGTCTTGCAATTGCTGGAGTTGTTTGAACTGATCATCCAGAAATCCCTTTTCCCCCAAAAGAAAAAAAAAAGGACAGAAATGGAAACAATTCAGAACCCAATCACAGTACCAATTTCATCAGAATTGTAAAATTCGTTCCATACAAAAAAGAAATTGAATCCGACAGAAGGAAAAAATGTGCGTGAATAAACCTCAACGTAAAGGGATTTTGAGTATTCGGCCAACTGCCTTTGCAGATGAATTGCATTGCCACCCATGGTTAAACACGAAAGGGTTGTTTCAGGAAAGAAGCTCTAAGGGACTGTGTTTATATATAGAGAACATTCTCTCTTATTTCTTTTACTATTTTTTTTTTCCTTCTCTATTATTTGGTTCACTTCTAAGTTCTAACTAGTACATAAAGTAAAGAGAAAAGATAAATATATTATTAATCTTAATATATTAAATTAATTAATAATAAATCCTCATGTGCAATAACTATTTTATTGAGAAAAAAAAGGAAATCTTTGAAAAGGGTGTCTTATTTTTAGATAGGATTAGGATCATTGAATGTGATCAAAAGCTTCGACATTAAACAATTGGAGATACCATAGAAATTAGTATTTAATTATTTTTACTATGAGGTAACGCATTCTCCAATCCACACCATAGACTCGGGAGTTTAGAACATTTCTGACTTCTAAGTAGTTGGTCAAGTTTTACACTAGAGTGTCAATTTCCGGCACAACGATACAATTTACAGAAATAATCCGATATAACACGACACGACTAACTCGACATTTTTTATTACATTTTTGCTTTAAATTTTTTTTTAATCACATAAAATAGATAATACGAAATTGACCCCATAACTCGTATCGACATCCCTTATTCATTAAACAACAGTTTTGTCATTGAGTCTAAAATAAGTTTTTCCAGATTAATTATCTCCGAGTCTAGTTTATTGTAGTCTATAGTCGATTTTTGACTCTTTGATGTGATTATCATGAGTGATTTCCGCCCTCTAACAAAAGGACTGAAACAAGCTAATCCCGAAATTAAGAGGCCATAATTTTTTTTTCCATATTCTATTCACTTTCAAGTGTCAAGGTAAAACCACTAATTTATTTTATATCTCCAAGTTTGACTCAAATCTCCAAACATTTTAAGCAAAGTACTGTTAGGTGCATCATTAAGTTACACATATGCAAAGTTAACCCTTGAATACCAAAACCTTCACTTGGTGAATGGTTGAGTGAACAGACATTTGAGAAATGTCCTTTCATTTCACAATGGGTAGTTTTTTCCAAAGATGAATCATTACATTAGTTTTTGTCTTTAGGAAAAAACTAAATATGGTCACATGTAACTAACAAGCATTTGAAGCAACAATTATTAAAATAATTATTTGAAAAAATACTATTTCTTGAAAATCAAAAAATGCCTGACATCAAGTCTAGATTAGTATGGAAAAGTAATCCCAAACACTCCGTGCATAACCAACTCATACTTTTCAGAGAAAAAAACAAAGAAATAATAAAGAAAAAGAACAAAAAAAATTATGAAAAGAGAGAAAGGGAGATATGGTGAAGAGGGATGAATGAATTCAATGAACTGAACAATGATGATTGAAGGCAGTGAGTGTGTGTCTGCAAAATGTCCACTCTTTTTCACTCCCCAGGATTTGGTTTCTGTTCCTGTCCTCTCGTCTTCTAAACCAAACAAACTGTCCAAATTTCCAAAATTATTAGTATTAAAAATCTTCTGATTCTCTGCAACTGAGAGATTCCAAACTGTGATGCCATGTTGTTGCTCCCTTTTTAAGCACACATTCCTTTCTTCCAGATAGATCATCACGTTTAACTACCTTGATTGTCTCAAAAAAAAAACTTGACTATGTTACTCTCCCTACCATATTCATAATTACTCCCTCCGTCTCATAATTATTATCCAGTTTAAATTTTCATTTTAAGTTCAAATTGTATTAAAAATGAAATCTCAAACTGGAGAATAATTTTGAGACGGAGGGAGTATTTTGCTAAACTTGATTAAATTACTTACATTATTCACTTTATTGGGCTAAAATTATTTTTCAGAGACAAGGAAAGTATTTTCAAGATACATTTTTTTAATAAGAAATAATAAAAATGATGTAGGTTTGCTTGTATTAGCCGTCATTGATGATTGGGTGATGACAGTCATTTGCCTATCTTTTCACATCTCTGTGTTTGTTTTCAGTTGTCAGTCAATGGGGTATTGAACGTGTCTTCTGTTGGGTGCATTGTGTAGGGGACATTTCTCTTCTCTATTGCCTAGTGCCAACACTCAACAGCAAAGGGGTTTGTTGCATTTTGCATTCAAAGCTAAATATGATGAATGATGCCAAATTTGATGATGACTTTGAGCCCCAATGAATAATGCACATCACGTATTTTGAATTTGTTAGGCGGAGTGTGTGTATAAGAATAATATTCCATCCGTCCTGTCGTTGAAAAAAATAGTAATTCATTTTTTTTAATTGTTCGAGTTTGAGAAGTTAAATAATTTCAGGACAGCGAAAGTAATTAAGAACAAGTACTAGAGTTAGCATCAAACAATTCAACTAAATGATAAGATTTCCTGAAATGAGTTATAGAGAAGTAAGTATGGTACCGTACGTGGTGATTCAAAACATTTAATATGTGTAAAAAGAACAAAACAAAATAAGTTATATGAGTAGCTCTATTGTTTTGGGACACATTTTAATTTTTTTTTAAAGTCAAACATCTATTTAAATTAAATTCTCATCTCTACCAATATCTAAATTTTGTTAGATGTTCAAAGTTGGACGACACATTTTAATTCGGATGCTGAAATAATACTTACTTTTCATTAGGTAATTAAAATTCTAAAAAAAACGAACGTATTTATTTGAATTTCTAGTATTTTACAGGAAAAGAATATGAATATAAATAAAATTCGTGACGTTTTCATTCCTTCCGAATTCCCATGTGGCAACACACAACGGACACGGAAAGACCTTGTCATAATATAATTCTTTTGTCTTTTCCTTTTATTGTTGTCCATATCACAAAAAGATTATAGTGTATATATAAGTTAAATATTTTTCTCGTCTAAGTCGATCCCAGTACAAAAAAAAAAAAAAACAATCGATAACAAAATAATAATGTTTCAGAAAACTCATATTAAAATATAGGTTCCATCAATATAAAAAATTAATAATGACTTGAAATATATGAAAAAAAAAACTAGGAACTAGTAAAATATGAATATGATAATATATTTTTTTTTAATTTTATATCTAATGAGATTTCATTTTTATTTATTTCCATTGCTTTCAAAATTCTTATATAGATTTCAAATATTGCAACAAAAGATTTCGAAAAGTTATTGTCACATTAATTGTTTCTTTTTGAGTGAATAGTTTCGACGACACTGAATCATCATCATTTTTATCCTGAATCATATTTTCAGGTACACTATTTACGGTGTATCTAAAGATTTTTATTAATTGAATTTTCTTAATAAATTAATACATCTAAAAATTAATAATTTTTGGTGTACCAACTATATTATAATTTATAAATGTGTTACTGTAGATATTGGTTTTTGTTTTGGAAACAGATTAGCGGTTTTTTTTTTCCTTGAATTTCTAATGTTTTTCATTTTAAATATTAAAGATAACTGTTTAGATTTTCCAAAAAAAAATACATTAAAATAATCTCTATTTGAAAAAAAAAACATAATTGGATAGACAACCTAAAAACAAGTTTTTCTACTTTTAACTTCTGCGTTAATCGAAATGTAAAAGCCAGCACAACAGCTAGGATCAATCAAGCATAGTCTACATTGATTCTGCTTCTATATCACGAAGGATTCATAATTTTTTTTTTTTTTCATATTGCAGGCAATAGTGACTAATCCTTCTCGCTCATGACAGGCACCTCAATAGGTGGAAAAATTGGCGAAAAGATTTATGGTTGGATTCATAATATTTTAAATCGTAAAAATTATGATTCTTATCGAATATATTTTGAATGATAAAACTTGAGCATGCACCACTAATGACGTTATTTTTAAGGGGTGGGGAAGAGAGAGTCAATTGCAATAAAGGCAAAAACGTTTAATCTCAAAGAAGTATGCAAGAGACATCCTACTTCACGTAAATAATTTGCACTATAAAAAAAAAAAAAACACACACACACACACACACATTGGATCTAGAAATTTAGCACACGCATAATGATTAATGACTCTCACAACCATTTCTTGTTTTTGACTCGACGTACATGGATTTTGAATGGAATTGCGTCTCATTTTGCCATAATAGTCTTCCCTTATGATAACAATATTCTAGTCACTTTGAATTGGCTTCATTGGTGCTAAATTAAAAGACGCCTGAGGCCACATGAATCTGATAACTCTCAACACATATTCATTGCAAATAATTTTCCGTCCCAAAATAAAAATATTAATTACTGTTCTTTTTCAGTTAAAACAAAGATAGACCACTTATTTGGGCACAAAGGTAGTAGCCTTTTGAATTGCATACCTGTTGGAGAAAAAGAGTAGCTAATGATTTGCACGCAAGCATCTCCAGATTTTAGAAATTCCGACAAATTCAAGTACTTATAAATGTAAAGATCAAATATATATATATATATATATATATATATATATATATATATATTGAGGGGTAATGTACAGCAAAAGGCACCTTCTTCCATCTTTTCTCTTTCATATTTTTTTTTTCTTTATTTTTCTTTTCTTTAACGAACAAATATTGTTACACCAGAAAGAAATACAAAATGTTTAGAAAATATTTCCATCAATGAATTTTAATATACAATATGTACAATAACCCCACACCACTGACAGCACAAGGATGAATATAGTTAGTACAAGTTTCTTGCGAGCTATGTCCGCCCAACTGTTGGTTCTTTCGCTGCCAACCGTTGTACATACTGGGGAGAGGCGTAAGGCTGGCATCCTCGGGATATATACATCAACCTGCAGAAGATGGCCATCAAAAATTTGCCATTATTAGGATATAAGAAGAGAAAATAAGCATTACGAACGTTAAAAATCAAGCATAAAATATCAATTAAAAGGAATAATTTTTTGGTGGGGGGGGTGCGGGCGGGGGAGGAAGTGATGTAAGATAAGATCTTGGATTGAGTACCTTCTTCAGAAAAGGCAAATACCCCTCCAAGCATACCATCACTTTCTGCATCTTCCTCAGTTTTCTCTCTGTCGCACGGACTAATGCCATTATCAATATCTGTAGTCAACTCAGTTAAATCATGTGAACCATCATTCACAGATGGTTTACAGTAGCCCTCCCGGAAGAATTGTGCAAAATCTACTGGGTCATGCATATCTTCATGCACTGGCTCCTCGTCAATAAGCTTCATACTGACATCTGATAGATTTGAGCTTGTGTTTGAATGTTCACCAGTTATGGCACTGCTTGAAGAATGAACATCCATACCACCAATTCCTCCAGTCGAAGGGGGTCCAGTCTTTGGCGAGGTTGGTCTATTTACAATATATCTTTCTTCCAGAGAAGATATAACATTTGCAGATGATTCAGGTGAAGCTGGAGACTGTTGGCCCAGAGAAACAGGACCAAATCTTCTTACACAGTCACTCTCCTCTACTGCTGAGTCATCAGAATGAGAATCTGATGCGTGCATGCGATCCATGCTATGCACAAATGCCGATGTTTTGCAACCTGAAGGAGATTCAGCAAAATAAATTTAGTTTGAAACAAAACCCGTCAAGTAAGTGTGTCCTTTCAAAATCAAATTATGCAATGAGTAAAGTCAAACCAGTTGGAATCTTTTCTGGTGACTCTGGGGAGTTTGATTTAGAATTAGAGCCTAAACTATCTTCTACTTTCTCTTTCGCACTACGAGAGCTGAAGCTTGAAGAGCGAGACCTGCAATCACACAGAATGATATAACAATGAAATTTGTGGGGCAAAAAAAAAACAGAACATATTCTCTAATTGACGAGATGCTATATTTACATCTTTCCACAATACTATCAACAAGAAATCCAAAAGTATGTGTAAATTCAAAAAAAGACAAGCCTTGAAATGCAATTTGCCAAGTAGTTTCACGAGGAAGATGTAGAGCAGTTCAACAGAAAAAGAAGTACCAATGCTAAGAGTAAAGACTTACTGTTACCATTTGATAGCATTTGAATCGCTAGGTACCTTTTCTAACATTTTTGGTGCTTACAGAGAATTTAAGCTCAATAAAGAAACTATATTCCCATCTACTATAACAAGGACAGGAAACTGACTGTAACTGTTAGTAGTGCAAATCTCCATTCCTGATAATAATGCCACAACACTAAAGGTGTGAACAGGTGACATCACAAGGTATGGCATGTGTTGGGACACAGAAATTGCAAGGGAATTGATGCAGAGAACAGACATGATTGACAGGATCAGACAGCTTAGAGGAAAACAAACAAACTTGTACATCTTTTTGTTGAAGAATACTGTCCCCAAGAAAATAGAATCAATGTGAAGATTCTACAGTATGTACAATAACCGAATCCTACTACACATTTGTAATAAAGATATCAGCTCCAGAGCAAGACATTCCTACCAGACTAAAGACGATTTAGTTCAATATCTATACCAGAGGATAAATACTGCATAAAAGAATGTGTAACAAATTTCATAAAACGTTAACTGTTCCACATATAAACTAATCTAAATGTATCCATTACTTAGCATCCACCCACCAACATATAAACTATTCAATATAATGCATACTGAACCTTTCCAGACCATCTAACAAAGAAACAAACTTCAGTCTTCCAAAGACTCTGGGAAAACCATAGAATATGATCTAATGAACTTATTGAATCCAAGAAAAAGAACCAAAAAATAGTACTCATTCGTGCGAGCAAATATATATAGATAAAATCGAAGATAGGGAAAAAAGTACAATTGAAACCAATAAAGTATCTACAATGGGGAAATCCAGACAGAAAACTTAGGTGACTTTTTCATTTGCATTTAATTGGACAAGTTTATTTCCCTAGGGCCAAAGAGATCAACCTAAACTAAAATAAAGAAAACCACATCTTTCATGAGTTGCAAGCAACAACAGCTTCCAGATTGACAATATGTGGAGTCGTTTTATACTCAAAAAGCTTCCAGATTGACAATATGTGGAGTCGTTTTATACTCAAAAGAGAGAGAGAGAGAGAGAGAGAGAGAGAGAGAGAGAGAGAGAGAGAGTTACAATTTTCATTCAATTTTTCTGACAGTCAAAGTGTCTAACATGATTGAAAATCAATACATATATGATCTTTATTTTATTCTTCCTTCTCCTTTCCCTTCTTCGGTGGTTTTCTTTCTCAGGAAAATATAGAACAGAAAGTGAAGCATAATTGTCTTGTTTATAAAGGTCTTCAATTCCTATGTTATAAGTACCATGCTGAGTTGTCTACAGCCATAGCTAAAACAACCACAAAGATCTTGCATTAATATGATCCCCTCGTAATGAAATTAGTACACAGAATATTTACAACTCCATACAGACCCAAATGAAGATACTTTCAGAGGTGAACTTTGCTACATAGATGTCAAAAACCATAAGGTCATCCTTTTCGTTACCTGTTGTCAGTCCAGTCAGGTTGGACTCCACGAAACTGATCAAATACAGGCAGTAGCTCTCGACGTTTAATTTCAACCTCGTTAGAAGGAATCTTCTCGATCTCAATCTCCCCATTGATGTCTTCATCAACAAAATTTTGCTCTCCATATCCATGATGGCTCATTGCATAGAAGTATATCTAAAAGTTAGAAGGTTTGTCAGCTGAATACGCTAATACTAAAAAAGTAAATAAAAAAATAAATAAAATTCAAGAAAAAAGCATGATACCTTCGACTTTTGCCATATTGGTATCCTCCCAGACCTCAACTGCACCTCAGCATTGGATAGATACCAATGAGATCGCTCATGTGACTTTACGCCATCCTTCTCCACAACATTACTATCTTCAGAGACATTAGTGCCTCTAGCTGCCTCCTCAGCTTCCTGACCACCAAGAGTAACTCCCTGAATATAATCCTCTTTCTCTGGCCAATCTGCTCTGCGACAAACATCCCATCGCTGGACAGGCTCAGCCTTCACAACCAAATCATCTTCCTGTATCTGTACCATTGTACTTGTACCGTTTCTAAGAGGAGACTCATTCTGGTTTCCCCCGAGGGACGACACAAGCTCATATTGGACCAGGTGTCCTGAAGGTGAATAAGCCATTAGGTGCTCAATAGCCTTCGCATTAGAGGAAGTGGATTGTACATTTTGATGCACAGAATTATGAAACACAGCAGCAATAACCCCCGAGGGTGGAGAAACCTTTCCGGCTGCTGAAGAAGCAGCATGGCTTACTGTATTCAGCCAATTTCCAGTTTTGATCCTGCAAACTACGGAGAGAGTGAGCAGAGCTGGAGGTGGTGTGGACGCCTGCTGGTTGAGTAGAAATGATGAGGTAGACCACCAGGGCACTGATAGCATGGGAGAGAGTGTAGGACCATCAGCATGATAACTTTGTAACTGAAGGCCAGTCTCCCCACCGAAAGGCGAAAGCACGAAAACATGGCAAGTTCCCTTGGATGACACAATCGCCACCCACTGACTATAGTGACTAAAGCAAATGTCTTGAATCACCTGTTAGAATGACCAGATAACAAGTTAATATGTAAGCAGACTACACAATGCATCTCTGTAGTCACACAGCTCAGAGATTTATATTCATAGAGTTGGGAAAGTGGAATATAAGATACAAACAGCTGAAGTCATGCCGCGATGGAGCTTGTACAGATGCACATGAGAAGAACTCCAATCGTAGTTATCGCCACTTCCCCCATTCTGCAATCTAGAAGGAAGGATACGGAAAATGTTTATATTGTTGCCATGTATGGATGCAGTCACCAGTAAAGTCCCACTTAGATCAAAACAGAGAGCAGATATTGGGCTGCTATGGGCTCTAAACTGTGAAATGACAGTTCGTGACACAAAATCCTTTATTATAACCTGCAATAGAGAATTCAAGATGCAAACAATCAAGTGAATAATTTCCCCAGGAATGATTACAGGATCCTCCATCAAGTCACATTCCACTAGTATTTTCCTTTTGATGCACAAATACTATTCTCAAAAGAAAAGCTTCAGTTTGTACAGAGAAAAATACTTGACAGTTGTTTCATGTCCTTGCAAACTGTATACTGCTTCTTTCCCACTTATTAATTAAAAACTTTTGACATGAAACAGCAATCAATCAAGGAAAACCATTTTCATGATCCCCATATTTTTATCACAAGATAAATACCTAAGCTCTGTAAACAACTAACCATGCCAGCAGCATCAGACTCAGAAGAATGTACAGCAGATCTTCCACTTTTCCAGTGTGAATTCGGTGACATTGGTGAAGTTGAACCATCAGGAATGAAGTCATGACAATATTTTGAAAATGTTTTGTAGCCCATATCTCCAAGATTAATTAGTCCAGAAGCCAATTGTTTACTTGACTCCATGGCATAACGAGCAACCAGATTTCCACTACTGGGTGATGTAGAAGGGCTCACACCAGGAGAGGGACTCAGACTTTGCGGACTTAATCGCCCCATATTAGAAATCAATGGATTATTTGAAGCATAAGCTAACCACCTGGGGCCCACAGCCATCGGACCATACCCAATATTTACACCAGTAAAGCCCTGGCCTCCCAACTGAGGAACTGGATAAGTAAGCACACTAAACTTATTCTCTAGAGTGAGTGCATCAAAGCAATATATCTGCCAAGAGAATAAAAAACATCAATAAGTTCATTGAAGTTCCGAAGTATAACAAGCTCAAGATATCCTTCATGGTTGAAGGTTATGGACAATATGGATCAAACCATGGTTATTAAAATCAAGCAGTAATTAACCCTCATTGTTTGAGATCTCAGTTTGTAGTTAATGATTATACAAGATAAATCATATCCTTTGCAAACTCCAGAATCTATATCATTGGAAAATGGTGGATAACAGAACAGTTGAAATCTAACACCGTCTTAGGAACAATACAACTACTCATTCACGGCAAAAGTAAATCTATTAAAAAAACTCGTATGCATACAGTATGACAACAAGATCCATGCACACCATAACAGTTGGTCTCTAACTAGGATAGAACAAACTTTTTCCAATTCAACTCACAATGTGTTAACAAAAATACATATAGAACTAACCTGTGCGGCAAGACCCACAGCAACAACTTGCGGACTGCATCTAACCATGTATACAGTAGATCGAAATCGTAAAACTTGGATATAGTTGTGCGACTGCAAGGAATAAAAGCGGACAGCTGTGGGATTCAAAAACTTCCCAGACTGAGGCTCGACAAAACCATCTCTCCCATTTTGCAGGGGACCTGAATAACTGGCCTCATCACTTGCAACAACCAAGAGCATGGGATGTAAGGCACGGTACCCTTCACGGGAATCGTTCTTTGCAGGTGTTGGCTGAATCAATAAAAATGTAACCGGATCATCGCGCCTTGAGACTAATTCAGAGACATTAGATCCGTTACTGACATCAAGAACTTGAAACCCATTGGAGTAACCAATGAGGAGAACACGTCTAACTGAACCACCAATTTCTATCCTATCGAAGGATGCCCATAAAACCTGAAAAAATGGAAGGAAAAAAAAAAGGAAAAGAAAAGAGGCTCGCTTTAATACAGTTTCACAAACATGGAGGCCTGTACTACAGGAAAAAGTAACATAAAAATTTCACCAAGTAAAGAATCTAAATAGCAAGTTTATGTAAAAAAGACAATGTCTGAACAGCTGTTGCACTTGCTATAGTTCCAAAGCTGTTTCATTTTCCCAATCGAGGTGATTCATATAACTAGTTATGAATATATCTTAACATCGATCTATTATGACCAAGAACTCAAGGATCTAATAAATTGATAAGCACCCTCCTTTCTCCAAAAGATCATGTACATAATATTTCCCAAATGTGAGACACAATGGAGCGAGCTAGTTTTATTCTTTCCCTATCTTACATTATCAACATGCTATCAAAACTAATACACCAGGAATAACTTTCAGCCCTTGCCTAGAAAGAGCACACTTGAAGAAAAAGCAATGTGCCCCATCAGCAAAACAGTAATTTACACTTGTATGATTCTCTTACCACAAGCAAACAATATTTATCTTTCTTCCATTGGCTCTCAGTTATAAGTGAGATGTCCTGGTTTCTCGTTCAAAGGGCAATGTGCATATACCCAAAAAAAAAAAAAACCATAGAATCTAAAAACAACTGTAATTTCAGCACTTCCTTGCAAACTGCATCTTTTATTCATCAACTAATGGATACTCAGTTACAACCTCCTTAAATCTCACTATACTAACAAAAAACGTATCACCAAATCATGATGACTGACATAGATCTTTGAGAAAACGAAAATCTTACATAACAACACATCACACTACAGCTTATTCAAGCATCAAAGAAGTTATCTTGCTTAATAAGATGTAAGAGAATACAGATACTCCTGCATCTAAAGCAGAGCCTGTCCAAGCAATAATACCAGATAGACTAAGAATGAAGCGTTCTAATGACAGGTGAACTTGAAACACGTTGGACAGATAAGTAGTGCTTAGTTTTCTTCTCATAAAGCCACTATTCTATTATCTCTTCCTCTATTTATCAAGGAGATACCAAGGGGAAAGAGCAACAAATCATAAAAAGCAAACTAAAGATAGATATCAAAGACCATCAGGTCACAACTTGATAACATAATGAAAAAGATTTTCCTTTTTCATTTTTTTAATATAAGCCACATCACAAGGAAAGTATTAACAAAAATACTATGGCTTACGTTTTCATTCGGTTAAGAAACACAGAATACAGGAGTATATGCACTGATTTCATTCTTCAACCATCATGGTCCAGCAAAAAACTGTACTTTTGAATAAAAAGAAAAAATTGGCAACATTAAATTGCTTTGACCAAAAAAAGAAGTTTTTAGTAAAATGGAATATCAAGACACAGATAGTGGCACATAAAAAAGATTATGACAACTGAAAAATGAGAAATTTGAATAAGAAAAGAAAAATCCAACTGAAATAACACCTGGCAATAATATGTGGAAATGAGGTCTTGACAGTAGCTGATGTTTGTCTGACGTCGAATAATCAATAACAATTATAACAAGTGTCACGGAAACTGTGGATTAAAAGTGTATGACAGGAGCCCAACAAAAGTAGTCAAGGGCGACTACTATTAGCATATATATTCAAATAACTCTTAACCAATGTAAGATATTCTCTGGTTCTTATAACTACATTAAGACAATTATACAGGGAGAACAAAAGACAAAAGAAAGGAATGCCGGAGGACAACTTTGTAACTGACATTCACAACTTATCCATCATTGTTGGAGGCTTAGGAATCTACGTCAACGATAATCTGGGAAGGCAATGGAGATACTTCCTACATTGTTACTAATCCACTATAGTCTCTTCTTTTTACTCCAAACAAAACATCGGTCCTATGATCATTGTCTGTCCTCTTTCCGCAAAGTTGCAAGACTCGATAATAAACTTGATGATTATAAATCCTTTATGAACATCATTGTCACGGTATGGGCTGCTAGCTAATGAAGTTATCTGCTCCCAGTATTCTAATTCTACCATTATAAAAAATGAGAATCCTTGAATCATAATTCCGGTAACTTCTAACTCTTATCCGAATCAAAGTCTGGGGAGATTTGTTTTTCAAATGCAGGTCAACTTTAAATCTGAGGAAGTTCTGGTAATTCCGTGGAATTTCAGTACATACATAACCAAATCCTGACTACCATTACATCAAGTCCCCAAGAAAATAAGCTTTAAATTAACCGAGAACTTCATTTTTTAAATTTTAATTTTCTAAGCGGGAGAAAAAAATAATTGAATAACGAAAAGGTACCTGGTCTTTATGAAGATCATCGGCGGAGTCACCCGAGATGGAACCAGCAACGGAGGCACCAGCAGACTTCACATTTGAGGACACGGTCTTGATACAAGAAGATATGAACTTGAGAGAATTAGGCACAAATCCATTGCTCCTAGTTGTAGTCCCATTCTTATGATGATTTCCATGAACTTTATTACCAAGATTGCTGTTCACGGTATTCGAGCCTTTCCTCATAATATACGCAAATCAACCGCAAAAATCTTTCGCAAGTCACCGGAAAATAGAAATCAAACACCAAGGATGATAACCGGAACCACGGGAAATTGAAGTAAAAAACTATAGTTCTTGACTATTGCGGCCCTTCCGGCCAGCTTCTCCTCCTCCTCCACCGCCGTTACCACCGCCCTCCCCCCTCTCCGGCACCCAGTGCTGACGATAATTGACTTCGATCAGATGATTGTAAAGCATTAATTTTCAAGGTAAAGAAAAAGGTAAGATTAAAAACCAGCGGAAAAAGGATTTTTTGTAATGATGAAGTTTTTTTGATTTTCTGGTGGTGGCTGTGGGTGGTGGGTGGTGGTTTTGACCTGCTCGAGGCTAACAACAACTGGTGACGACGTGAGAGACGGTTCCCTTTTTCTATTTTCTTTCTTAATTTCCTTTTTTTTTTTTTTTTTCTTCTTCTTCGATCTGGTTTTTTCTTTTTCTTTTTCTTTTTTTCTCTCTTAACTTGAGACAGAATGTGTTTCTTTCTGTACGTCTCCATTTTTTGGATTTGCCAACCGCTTTCTTGTAATTTCACATCTGCCCCTTGTTCTTCTACTTCTTCGGTTTAAGCCGGTGAACTTTTATAAAGAAACTCAGTGATATTTCATTCGTCCAAAATTAATTATTAAGTCATTAAGCTGAAATAGTAACATTTAGTAAAACTTTAGTTTATGGATGAATGAAATATTGTCTTTATATAATGCCGTTAAAATTTTAGCCTGTGATTGAAGTTCTATTCATAATTAGAGTACTGTTGCATAAAACTCAAGATATGATTCAAATTAGTGCATGATTTATAAGTTGAGCTTAATAAACTAATGCAACCAACAACCGCGGCAAGCAGCAGCACCGGGCAAGCAGCAGCAACGGCGGCGGCGACAGGAGAAAAAAAGCAGCAGGAGTAGCGGGCGATGAAGACTGACGAAGAAGATGAAGAACAGCAGCTTCAGTGTCGTCAATGATGGAGGATGAAGATGAAGAACAGGAACAGGAGGAATCAACAATAAAGAAGGTGATGGACGATGGCAAAGGAACGGAGGCGGCAAGAAAACGACGGCGCCAGGGAGGCTGATACCATGAAAGAATATTTTTCGTATCTTATTACGTGTGTACAACATCATATATATATAGTACAATATTACAATAACCCTAGCCGTGACTATCGAAAATCCTAATTAGGGTTTCCGTATTTATATATTCTATCACTACTCCCTTCATTCCAAAATTTGTCCAGTTTGGAGTTTCACTTTTAGTTCAATTTATTCTAAAATAAAAATCTAAATTGGACAATAATTTTAGGATGGAAGACGTACTATTATAGTGAAAATCAAATTTTAAACTGGAAAATTATTTCAAAACGAAAGAATTGTTTAGTTAAGATTTGATTATAGTATGACTAAATGTTATAATTCGATATGAGTGTTTGAGTTTAAAGTCCTACGAATTCTATTTCTAACCATTACTTCAGTCTTTGTCTGATGTGTTGTCAAAATCATGATTCTAAGTAGCTAGCTTTGGAATTTCGTGATCAGTATGAAAAAAGTTATATAATCATAATTTAACTGAAACCAAACTTGTAAAGAGAAATCAAAATTTATAAATGTCACGGGGTGGGAAACGAATAGATGTAAAAGTTGAGGGAGTTGACCAGAAATTAGGGAGCAGAGAAAATGGAAAGGTTGAGAAAGAGAGTTTACGTCACGACACAGGATAAGCGAATATCTGACTTTTAGATTCGGAAGCAAAGAAGCTATTTTACGGCGTCTGTCTCTTTTATGCTTATCATTTACGAATTACGGCTAAATTTTCTGAATTTAATTTACATCCCTTTTTTCTTTTTTTTTCCTTTGCTTCCTTTTTGCCCTATTATGACCTGAAAAACCAATTACTTTCGTGAATTTATACTTTTATGTTCAACAAAGGAATGTTTCAGATGAGTATATAATGCCAAAATAATAAATACGTTACTTGTTTTACTAAAAAACAGTGGACAACTTATAATCAAAGAAGATAATCATCTATGAAGTTAAAGGCAAAATCAAATGCTCTCTTCCAATTAATAATGGATCAATCACGAATCATTTTGGTATTAAAATACTCCTTATGGCTTATGCTATCTTATTACATGGATAAAAGCAAAAATCGATTATCAATTATACTTTATATTTTTTCATTGAAAAAAAAAAAGCAAATTCAAACAAACATAGGAGTGAGTTGCGATTTAATTCTTAAAAATAGTATTTTAAATTTCAAAAAAAAATTGTTAAAGGGCATGAGAGAAATTGAAATAGTTATTTTAGAAGCTACGAACAAAATTTATAAAGTCATTATAGGTGCATGCTTCCATCAATCCTTATCCTTTCTCAAAAGCAAAACACCCTAGTTTTTTTTTCCCCTTCATGATAAGTAGCACTCTCTTCAGTCGTTAATATAAAATATTTTAATTTATCATAGGTTTAATCTAATATACATTTTTAATCAACGAAAACCTTACAATATTTTATAACAATCAAGAAAACACAAAGAATATAAAAATATATTTTTAAGATTTTTCTTGTCAATTAAAAATATGTACTAAGTGAGACTTAAAAAAAGTTAAAATATCTTATAATAAAGACGGGAGGGAGTATATATTATATTATGGACTATTCACATCAACTATTGTGTTTTAATCTCCTTTTCATTGACTATATTTAGCTATTTGTGCAATTAATACATGTCTACTATTTTGATTGAAACGAGGAGGCAGAATTACGCCAGGAGAGAGAGAGGTGTGTTATAAGGTTGACAAAAAGTTTGGGTTGGTTTGGTGGGCATCCTAGGAGATTCTCTTGTGTTCGTGTTTGTGTTTGAAACGTTTTTTTAACGTATGAATTTTTAGTGAGAATGTAAAAAAATATAGAATAGAGGTGAAATTATTAATTAATAAACAGAGAACCAAGAAATGTTTATTAGCTACAAGGAAATAAAAGATTTAGTTTATTATCACTTTGTATGAGGTATATTCCTGTGTAAAAATGATAATTCAATTTGTTCGTTCTAAATTTTTTTATATTCCTTGCAGTATTTAAAATAATGGTGGATGTAGGAACATTTTATAGTATTCATTCTAAATATTTCTTGTATGTTTTTTCAAAATATAACATTTATACTCTTTTATAACAGAGAGAGTATATACTTTTTTTTAAAAAAAAAAAACTTTTGAATATCCCTACCTCGATTCCTTCTTTCTATATATATACTAGTGATGTTGGTCGCGCAATGCACGACCCTGGCCCAGTCTATCTGTAGATCTTAGAAATGTTTATATTTGAAAAAAAATAAAATTTTGTATTTGGAGCGATATATTTTAGAAATATTTGAAGGATTTAAAAATATTTTATAAGTATGATCATAGAAATATTTGTATTTCGCAAAAAAAAAAAATTGTATTTCGCCATGTATGTTTTAAAATGTTTTCTAAGTGTTACTTATTAAATATAAATAGCCTTAATCGAATATATGTGTTGAAGTAAATGTTAGATAAAATATAAAAGCATCCTAATAAATTTAAATATTAAGAAGATGATTTATTGATGTTCTCCGTTGGTCGTGCCAAATCAATACTTAGTTTTGGAGATTTTTAATAGCTTTGTAATAAGTTTCATCCGAAGGGTATACGCTTAAAACAAAATTGACACTTTGTAACAAAAAACCTAATTGATCAATTCAATTTAAAAAACCACTCTAGTTAAATAAAACATAAAGAAAAAATTAAAAAAAAAAAAGTGTCACGTAAAGTGCAAAGGGAGATTTAGTAATTTAGTTATGGTTAGACAAAAGGGCAATTTAGTATTTTCTACATGCCACGTGGCAATCATATGAGGTGTTTGAAAGGGAGGTTTTTGTTTCTAATATAGTAGGATATATATATATATATATATATATATATATATATATATATATATATACTAGTGATGTTTGGTCGCGCAATGCGCGACCCTGGCCCAGTCTATATTTAATTTTGGAGATTTTTAATAGTTTTGTAATAAGGTTCATCCAAAAGGTATATGCTTAAAACAAAATTGACACTTTGTAACAAAAACCTAATTGATCAATTCAATTTAGACTCCATAATTAAGAAAAGAAAACCACTCTAATTGAATGAAACATAAAGAAATTTTTTTTAAAAAAACGTGCCAAAGTGCAAAGGGGGATTTAGTAATTTAGTTATGGTTAGACAAAAGGGTAATTTAGTACTTTCTTCATGCCACGTGGCAATCATAGGAGATGTTTGAAAGGGGATTTTTATTTCTAATATAGTAAGATATATACTAAATTATTTTATGCAAAGGTTCTGTAAATGTGATTGCATGAACCTAATTTCCGTTTTCAAAAAAAAAAAAACTTAATTTCCTTGACAAATTCGAGTGTTCCTATTCTTCTTAAAAAAAAAAACCTAAGTAACCAACTTCAATTATTGAAAAAACGAAGCATGCATGTTTTTGTTTTGCGTACAACATAGTGTCCACGGAAATAATTATGGGTGTGTACGGTCCAGGTAGTTCTATTTTAAGTCTGAATCGTAAATCAAACCGTTAAAACGATTTGGAAAATTTTGAATTCAAAACCAAACCAATCCACATTTAGAAACCAGACCAAATCAATCCGTAATCAACGATTTGATTTTTACGGTTTCACAATTTTGTTCTTACTTTATCTTTTTCTTTTCTTTTTTTTTTGAATTTTAGTTTTTATCTTTTTTAGGCCAAAATTTACACAAAAACAAACTTTTTTAATTTAACACATGCAAAAAACTAAAGGTCCAGGACTTTGAATCTCTTAGGGTTTATTACTTAGTTTAGGTAGATTTTGATTTTATAGTTTAAGAAATAGGAATTCCAATAATTACGCTTTAACTTTTTTAAGTCCAAAAAAAAATTTTTAAAGAAAGAAAAAAAAAACACTGAAAAAGCTTTTGAGACAACAAAAAGATATATTGAAAAAAGGGAAAAACGTAGGAGAAGAGCTTTTGAAATCCAAAATAAAAATAAAAAAAGTAGAAAAATAACCTAAGAAGAAAGGCTTAAGGGAATCAAAACTAGGAGTTACGGCTAAACATGATCTTGAGTTAACCAAGTTTATTATGTCACAATCTGTAACTAATACAACAGATTTCGACATATATAGGAATTGTATTATATACTCCCTCTGTCCTATAATTATTGTCCAATTTGAGTTTTCATTTCTTGTTCAAATAATACTCAAAGTGAAATCTCAAACTGGACAATAATTTTAAGACAGAGAGAATATATAATTTAGATAATAAGTATTATAAACGGTCCGTTCTGGTTTAGTTAACGGATTTTGAACATGAAATCGTGAATCAAACCATTCCTTCTGATTTCTAAATTTCGAAATTGCCGATTTTAAAATAGAGTTTCGAAACCGATCCAAAAACCAAATCGCGGTCCGAATTGATCGGTTTAATCGGTTTGAACCAATCTGTGTACACTTCTAAAAATAATAATGATTCCTTAATCCTACTTTAACTGTATAATACTAGTTCATTGTATTCAATTAAAATAGTATTAAATGAATTATTGAATTAAGCCATAACGGAGTAAAGTATATTCTAGGTAGAATATTTTATAATGATGGGTTGCACGGACAGTTGGGGTTTTTGCTGACAAAAGTTACATACAAACAATAATTTATTTATGGGAACTTCTTTAATGAATGGTTAAACGCTCCTTGCGCCCTTCACGGGTCCATTGCCCATGCCTTTTACGGCAACCCAATTGTCAATTTCTTTTATTGCTCAATTATTGTATTTTTTCTGTATTCATTTTTCTGTATGTGGTTAGCATTTTCTGGTGTTTATTTTATTTCGAGAATTAAAGATGTCACATCATGAATATTGTAAAACTTAAAATGAATTGCAAAAGCCAATAGGGATATATCTATATATATATGTGTGTGTGTGTGTGTTTTACAAAAAGAGGTGAAATGAGAAGTATTATTATTAGTTCCTATCTCTTTGGAGGACAATTACAGGTCCCCGGATCTTTACTTTAGGTTTTGTGAGAGTATGATTTTGACAACTTTTCTTTTCACTGAGTAAAAATGAAAGGGAAAAGTTTTATATTATATACGGTCATAATTCATCAAGCGATTAGTTGGTTTGCAATTTTCACACATTATGGGGTCTCTCTTATGTGTTTTGCAAAATAAGTTGGTGTTTTTTTTTTTTTTAGAAAAATAAGTTGGTTCAATTTTTACATTGTAACAAGATTCACTTATTTAAATTTTTTTTTTTTTAAAGAAAGGACATAGAATTTCATCAACACTCACCTCACCTGTCTCACTTTTTACATCTAGCCATATTTTCTTGTGAATTTTACCTTACAAATTCACCTGTTCTATGTTCATTATTATTTACTTCCTCCGTCCCATAATTATTGTCCAGTTTGAGTTTTCATTTCTAGTTCAAATTATACTAAAAGTGAAATCTCAAACTGGACAATAATTTTAGAACAGAGGGAGTATTTATTTTTTCGTGAAGAGCTTGACTAAAGGCTAACACCTTTAATTACACTAGGAGGAATCCTTGTTCCTTACCGTCATTTTCTAAATTACCGTCCCAGATTTATTGTTCAATTGAAATTTTCATTTTTAGTTTAATATGTACTAAAAATAAAAATTCAAACTGGACAATAATTTTGACAGGGAATACTATTGTGTAGAGCGTTTGTACAAAACACACCTTCCAATTAGTGCGCAAAAGGATATGATTCCCTCTTAATTCTGGATCTAGAGAAATTTCACTCTTATCATCATTCCATTTAAAGTAAAAGGCCATGAGCAAAGGAGTAAAAAGATCTAACAAAAGCAATCGCTAGATCAGTCACCAATTCTGGTACCATATTCCAGATGAGCTCTACAATATAATTTATACCTGTTTATCTAACTCAATCGCATTGCAGAAAAAACAAGTCAAGTTTCAGAAGTTTGTACAAGTCATTTTTACACTAATTTCATCCTAACATTGACCCAGAATTAGTCTATAAAGACAGTTTTTGCAGGACAAATTTCCTCTCAGCAAGAAACCTGTTTTTTTTCCCTCTAAAACTTCTAGGCAGGGTATGTACAAATATTCTCATCTCAAGAACTCAAAGCCACATGCATAAGATGGTCACATAAATACTTGGTTGAGTTGTATTCATCGGCATCTAGTAGTTCTTCCGAGTAAGTTCTAAGCAAACATCGCTGGTTTTCACGTTGCATAAGACACTCCAAGGACTTTCCTTCGCCTCTCAGCAGCGCTACAACCTACGACGATTGATATGTCTGTTAGAAAGCTGCATTCGATGGATAAAATGCACATAATCACGGTGAAAACAAGCGCCAAAAGATGATTTTCGATCTCCTATGATGAAACATGATTGCGAAAACAAGATGCATGGGCACAATCTCAAAAAGTTTTATCATTTCATGGATAAGTTGAGATGGAATTTTCTGCTTGTCACCTGAATAGAATCAATGAGGCAAAAAATTTGAATTAAGTTCAGTCGTGCATAAAATTTTTTGCATTAGCAACCCTTTTATTTTATCATCATATAATCAACTATGGTTTCATTTAGCATTTCATGTGTGAAGGAACAAACAAAACTGTGATTAAGATCCCCTCTAGTTTTTTTTTTATAATTTTTTGACAATCTCATTCGTGTGAACTTATGAATGCAGAAACACCTTTATGCACTGAAATACAGGAAAGGTATAAAGGTCCGGGACAGACTACTTGCCTTATTCATTTGAGGCCGCTCAGTAGGATTAAAATTAATGCACAGACTCGCAGTCAACAGTACACAATCCATCTTTTCTTTGTTATATTCTTTACCAAGTGAAGGATCAACTAGCTCGTCAATCTTATCGTGATCAAGCAGCGGCCTTGCCTGTATTCAGAAATTACTTTTAATAAAAAGATATTCATTAAATTTAGACCATGGAATAGAAAAAGTTATGAAAATCCATTTTACCCAGAGCACAAGGCTGTTCTGAGATTCATCCAGCGCTCGTCGTCCAGTTATGATCTCTAAAAGCAGTACACCAAAAGCAAATACATCAGTCTTCTCATCCACAACACCATTCATGTAGTACTCTGGAGCGAAATACCTGTAAAGAGTGCAGTAATCTATGACAATATAGTATTGGCAGTCGGAACGATTTAAAAGACAGAAGTTTTTTCCTCTTTTTTTTTTTTTTTTTGGTTGGTTTTGGCAAAGAAAAGACAGAAGTTTCGACTAGACAATACATACCCAAATGTCCCTTCAAACTTCGACACACTGCAATGAGTCATCTGTTTTGGGAGCCATTTTGCCAGACCAAAATCACAGATCTATACCAATAATTGCTATGTTAGGCATTGGAATAATGCATTAGTAATAAAAAGCAAAAGGGCCAGGACAAGTGGCATGTAACACCTAATGGAGGCAACAAACAAGACTGGTTGTGGAGTAATAATGGGCCACTTAAGGAAGAACTAACACATTCACTAATGAACAATAAAGGAAGAAACATAAAAAAAGGTACTTCACATTCCTTAGCTTCAAAATATTAAGGCCACAGGTTCGCCTTAACTGTTAAGTGTCAAATGTAAAGGAATAACATAAGACACAATCAACTTCAAGAAGACAAAGACAAGATGAATATGTAACAAATTGCAGACTGCAATATCTCTAACCTCTTCACTGAAAGTATTTAAAATGCAACTGAAAGGACAAAACTTCTTATGGCATCTAAAAAGTCTGAATTTTGAGCATCATGGTTTTAGGGTAGAATTGTTGACGATCATACATTACAAGCACCATCAAGATGAAGCTAAGAATAAACCACACCTGCCAAATCATGATTCAACTGATATAAAAAAGTAGCAAAAGGAGAGAGGAAATCAGGTTACGACGTTAAATAAAAAATGAAGCAAATACAAAGAAAACATGTACTCCATAAAAATCACCCCATTGAACCTGGAATGGAAAAGGGGATCTAAATGAAACTTGGGACAAATTAGCTTTGGAATGCACATAAAGCACCTAAGGATTAGATTCTGGAAGTATCCCCGATCCATGGCATGCCAACAAGTAAAGGCTAAAGCTTAGCCACGGACCAGGTAAACAGAATGGAAATATGAAATGGCATCTCTTTGGTCATCAAACTCAAATCCACTAGAAGGGAAGGGTTCCACTGTACTAAATAATAACTTTTAAGTTAGAAAAGATATCCCAAATCGTAAGAATCTTCCATTATCCGAAACATTATGAGCACAGTTTCATGTTTGAAGCTGAGGGCTAGTCCACATAAGTTTAACTGTAGATAAAATGAAGATTATGCCAAAGCTACTTAAGAGTTTTATTGACAAACATTGAACGTTGAACTGTTTAATTTTCAGTTTTTTACATCATACCCTAATAAGATGATAATGTCAAGTGCTCTAGCTAGGGTTTCAGTTGGGATGTTTAAGATATACTCAAGGAACAGTGGAACAGATTCAAGCAACTGGTAACCCGTAAAGTGTGCATAATTTGAATCGGGGTTACCTTTGGTCACTTATCTAGTTCAGTTTTAGCAGTAGTCAACCAATATCTAAAACAAATAGCCAAAAGATAATAATGAATTCCCATAAAAGAGTTGAAGAAGATATTATCAGATGCATTACGCCAATGGAAATTATAACAAAGTTAATAGTCACAGATGTCAAAATTTCAATTTAACCTGGATAACTAAAATTTGAAGAATCAAAGAAGTTTCCATATTTCGACGATGCATTCACGCATCATGTAGGACCAACCTACCGCAGTATATTGAATGAAAGTTACCAAAAGTACATAACAACTAAGTCTTTTTTTATACCAATGAAAAACAACAATGCCTTCATAAAAATAGCAAGATAAAACAATGATGTTAAGTTTTCAAGAAGACAATAGTACCAGAAAGGCATTCTGATTTATGGATTTTCTGAACCCACTACTCCTAGAGGATGACAATGATTCCACAATTAATGTAATAAGTCTCATTTCATTGTTACACTACAAAATATAATGCATATGTACCTGGGGATCATAATTCTCAGTGAGTAGGATATTGTCAGCTTTTATGTCTCTGTGAATGATCCTCCTTTGGCAGTTCTCGTGAAGATATCGTAAACCATCAGCTGTTCCCAGTATAATCTTATACCTAATTTCCCAATTTAGCTTTTCCTTTGAGCCTGAAAGATGCACATGAAAAATTATAAGTTCCAGAAACAGGAGATTACCCCATTAAGGAACGCTTAAAATTAATAACGAGGCTGTATCAACAAACCATGAAGCAATGATCCTAAGCTCCCTAGAGAAGATAACTCAAGAACAAGATATGTTCCTCCTTCAATTCCATAGCCAATCATCTTAGCAGTATTAGGATGATCGACATGTGCAATGATGCCAACCTCGGATAAGAAGTTTATTATCTGCTCCTCAGCTGTTCCCTTATTGAGCTGTTTGATTGCCACCAGCTGTCCATCTGGGAGGCATCCCTTGTACACTTCAGCATACCCACCTTTTCCAATCAGATTTTCTACAGATGCAACAAAAGATTTATAAATACACACTAGTGTAACTTTCAAACAATGTCTGAATTTGAAACCAGTTTATGACGTACAGCACGTTATATATTAGAACAAACATAGAAAAAATAAGCAACATGGTAATATAGGAAGACATGTATACCTTGACTAAAATTGTTAGTTGCTTGCTTAAGGTCAGAGTGAGTGAAGTTCTTCCACGTTCCAGGAGAAAACTCGATGTCTATGCTTTCCCTTTCGTTTCTACTTCTTCTTCTTGATACCAAAGGAGGAAAGGAAGGGAGCCGTTTTATGGTACGTTGCTTCCAGAGTTTAAAGAATCTGTGCCAGCGAGAAGGTTCTCTTGACTTTGATTCAACTGTAGAAACTAAGCACCTTTTCTTCGGGGAATCGGATTCCTTCTCCAAATCTGTAATGCATGCTTCTATAACTCCTCGTGGAGAGGATTGATCCAGCTTCTCTTTTTCCATCTCGAAACATCTCAAGTCTATCACACACAAAAAGAAACAAATACAGGTAATGCTATGGATACATAAAGGCAGACATGGAATGTAAGTTGATCAAAAGATATAATATGACCTTGAGCAGAAGCTGAAGGAAAGAGACATGGCCACTTTCCTGCCATACTAGATTTGTTTTCGAGCGGTATCTTCAAGTCTGTGCTCAACTCCCCACCAGTTTTCCTGTGTAAAAGTAGAAGCAAACAGGTAAATACATAGCATCATATACAATGTTAAAAGACAAGATCTAAGATTAGTCATGAGCCAAATAACAGCAATAAGTTATCCTTATATGGTAGAAAAGTACTAGATCGTCATCCGAGAAACATTTTTTTTTTTTATTGTTGAAGTTGAGAAAGAATTTACAGGAAGAACTCAAACTATATATATATACATGTATGTATATATATATATATATATTTATATATATATATATATTTTCAAAAATAACGTAGAAGTGGGGGGAAAAGATGATCTCCACCAGGGCTGGGGATGAAATGGTCAGATACAGGTCTACAAGCCTGTTATATCTGTAGTTCACTTCTCATTAAGCCAGTAAAGGACACATGTTGGTGAAAGAAGAATCGAAAAATGTTCTAAACTCTGTAACAACAAGCTTGAATGGAGAACCAAAGGATGCATGACCTGGAAACTCAGTTTCTATCTCAGGGACAGCATGCATTATTTTCTTTAGCATGGGAAGTCTGCAAACTTTGCCACTTAAATTATCATTATCAAGACACATGCTAAACATGCCATTTTTTTTTTTCCAATTTCCCCCCCTCAGGCCTACACATTCGGGGAGTTAAGCAACATCCCTTACCCTGCAAGTTGGAACGTGAACAGAAACATAAGAGGACACCTATAACCACATTTAACAGTTCTTGCCAGACATGAAGTCCACAAAATGAGAAACATGTGGTGGTTGTCCGAGAACTGACAAAATAGACTCACAAGAACCATTGCATATAAACACTGGAATAAGCACAAAGCAGCCACTGGCAGATGCTTTACAAGCTCAAATGCAAATGGTAACGACATTTACATATAAACTATTTTCTTCCACTTACAGTACTTTTTCACTCATCCATTTCACACATTACTTAAATGATTACATCCTTATCAAGTAATAAAACACTGTCAAAGACTAAGCGAATCCTCCCGCGACTTACACGGAAATTTTTATGTGGTGGACCCCAGTAAAGAAAAATCCAATGTGAGTGTTCACTACTCTTCACCCATAACAAAGCTGTACAGTGCATGTCAGTGACCACAGAAGAACTAATTTAATTTCATTCCAAATGGCCAAAACGTATTTAACAAAAACTTGGCTGATCTTCCTCTTATTCCGTCTAACTTTATAATCCGAACTACAGCTTATACCGACATTGAGAGCTACTATATCTACTTCATAGAATTTTTTAAAAAAAACAAGCAACACCTTAATAACTAACAATAAGAGGAATGTAAATGGAACGAGGGTTTTGGAAATAATACACTTTTCTAGAGTAACTCAAGATTCATTTATTCCTTTGGCAGACACTCACCCTGACTGTTTGAAAAGGCATAGAAATACAATGAAAAGTGGAGCCTTAGGCATACAAATTGAATTGTAGATTACCGTAACGGCAGAAGGAAAAAGCAAAAATTGGAATGACAAATAAGGAAAACCAAAGCAAAAAGGTTTAATTTTCTTTTCTTACTTAGAATACAGGAAAGAAAAGATAGGCCTCTGACCAAAAAGGCTAATTTTGACTACACAAACATTGAAATACAAGACAGTAAAATACCAGGTAATCCATAAGGGTTATTTTGAGTGATGAATAGAGTCACCAAATGAAAGGAGACATCAAGTAATGGTATACAAATACAATGAGAAGTGGACTTCACGCTTACTGATGGAAGTGGTCACTACCAACACACCAGCATAAGCTACATTTGGAATGTCAAATGCAGGGGAAAAAAAAAAACCAAGATCAGAAAAAACGTGTAGAAATAAAATGAGAATTGTACCCAAATTTGTAATCATCCTGGAATTAAGCCAGTGTATGCTATACAACCACAAGTGGACATAAGACTTTTACATTGAACAGCACAAAGGAAAAAAGCATAATTTAAAGTGATAGATAGAAAAACAAATGATAGGAGATGGCAAATAACAAATCTATCAAAATTGAAATTTCATTGTACTTGAGTCATTCATTAACTAAGCATTCAAATTAGGAAGACTGCATTACCACCAGGTTTGATTATCTCTTCTTACTTAATATACTAAAAGGGAAAAAATAACCCTCTGAACCATCAACCTAACCAAACGTCAAAACGCAGGATCGGGAAATACCTGATACAGCAAATGCACACCACCAACCAACAGGAATAAAAAAGCACAAAATGAATTTCTAAAATCCAGAGTCATTCTACCATTTGACAAATGATGACATTTCTATTAGGCAACGGAATCAGGACGCGAAAGAACAATAAAAATTCTGTTTGACATCAGAGAATTGTTTATCTACTCCTTCTAATGGCTAGACCACCAACAACAAAAGTATCATAATACAATCCAATTTTCTCATTCGGTATGGTTTAAGACTCATCTGGATTGAAAGCAAATGAACATGTAGAAAAACAAAACACTGATGAACATAGAATGTAAAGTATTTCAGAAGATAAGTAGCCTCATTCATACAATTCAGACACCGAAAAGAGCTCAGAGACCACTGGAGCTTGGCGTCAATGCTTTTCGGGGTGTGGTGGCAAAATTCACTTAAAATATAGAATTTGAAGGCAGATGTCATAAGTCACACACTCACATTAATGAATCTGATTCACATAACCTTTGAAACTAATAAGGTAAGGCTCTCAATAAAGCTAGAAAACAACAACGTACACAAAATGCACACTAGATTTCGTAAACCCCCATCCGGCATGCATTAAATTGTTACACTACGCCATCAAAGTAAAACAAACATGACATTTGGCAAACACAAAAAACACAGCATAAATTAACCATATCAGAACTATCAGCATTCATTGAAAGAAAATGAGGAAATTAATGGCACTCACATCGGTGGAAGAGGAGGCAGCACCGCATCCTGTACTTGATTAAGATTAACCATCAATCAGAATAACTAAAACCAATTTCCACATTGATGGATAAAAATTGGCAACCAAAAAAAAAAAAAAAAACCCTTCAATAACTATAACCTCAAAGACACCAACTTTACGACATTATGAATGAATATGAATGTTCAATTCCAAAAGGGTTCACATAATTCCCGTTGTTAAGAGCCAAAACAGAATCCAAGCAGGACCCTGTTTACATTATTTCGTAATCATTGTCAAACAAGTCGTTTTCAGAGGATCTTTTTCCATTTTTTCATTCCTTCTTTTGGGTTGGCATTTGTCCTGATAACAAGAAAACAGGAAACAGACAAAAAAGGAGGAGAATGGAGAGGGAAAATGAGTCCCCCAGAAAGAAGAACTTGTCGGTAGAGTAAGCAAGGCAAGCAATACGAAAATAGCGACCGTTGGAAATGGGACAAATGGACATTGCTGGTGGATTTTGTGTGTCGGATGAAGAAGGTGTCATTTTTTGCCATACTCCGATTTGGACTCTTCACCTTTTACCTGAACTATTTATATTTTCCGGAAAAAATTAAATTAAATTAAAACAAATGTTTTTTTTTTCCTTCAAAAGAAACTGGTCATAATGTGTTTGTCACAGTCTGGGCTGCATCTACATTCTGGCATAATGAAAGGGTTCAAGTGTAAATTCAGAGTCAACTTAGTCAATTGTGCATTTCATTTCAGTCTGCATTTGACTTGTATTTCTTTTTTGCATTTGAGTTGTATTTCCCGTTTCTGTTAAACCCCCTTCTTCCGGCCAGCTTGAAACTTCGGGATTCAACCGCCTATCGGAGATTCCTTTTATAAATAGGACTGTGTAACTGCTTTTGTTTTTTGTTGAAGAAAAATTTCATTTTGTTATTTTTATCCTTTACCGTTTTTTCTTATTTTCTTATTTTCTCCGTCCTTGTTGCAATTTTGATGAATTTCGCCGGGATCTGACAACTTGGTATCGAGAGCCACCGTTCCTTGGCGGTGTTCGCCAATCTCTTCGTTCCTCCGCAATTTAGTTATTCTAATAAGTTGCGATTCTCTGTCGAAATTAGAGATGGCAGAAGGCACCAGATCCATGAAGCAATTAGAGGAACAGATCAAGAAACAGGAAGCTCGATTGGCTGAGGTGACGGTTGGATTCAATGATCACGTCGCGGAAAAGTTATCGGAGTTTCAAACACAGATGGATGGGCGATTGAAGACGGCGATGGAAGGTATAGCTTCTAAGAGTCAGCTGGATCGGGGTAGAAGCTACGATTGTGTCGTTGACACAATCTCATATACATCCTGCCCCAATTCCGCCAGTTAGGGATAAAGCTCCGATTAGATTTGGGGAAATTCCTACAGAAAGGTCCCATGTAGTGTTGAATTCAGGAAACACATCACGAATTCACACTGATATGGAATTTACAGCAGCAACTAGGGATCGTGGCTTTCGTCCTCAGCAGTTCACCCAACCTAGGCTGGAGCTACCATTATATGAAGGAGAGGGCAATCCAAGGACGTGGATACGCAGATGTGAGAAGTTTTTCTTGTTGCATCAGGTGGCGGAGCACTGGAAGGTGGAGTATATTGAGTTGTATTTGGATGGGAAGGCTAAGACGTGGTATCGGGCCACCAAAATGCTGAAACCACGGCTATCTTGGGTTGAGTTCGAGAACGGCTAGATTAGACGATTTGCTGAGAAAGGAATGCAAGATGAAGCGGAGGAGTTCAATAAATTGATTCAACTGGGCAGTGTGAGGGAATACCGGGAGAAATTTGAAGAGATGAGAACCAGAATGTTGTACAAACCCCATCTCACTGAGAGCTACTTCATTTCCAGCTTCATAAGCGGTTTAAAGGAGGAGATCAAGCCCATGATTCGCATGCTACCTCACCAAGACTTGAATGAGGTGTTTAAGATTGCCTTACTACAGGAGCAGAACCTATCAGTTACAAGCAAAGTTGGGAAGGCTGGCACTCATCAAGGTACTAAATCTATTGCTACCTCTGCCAAAGTACTTGATCCTGTTAAACCTATTTTTAAGAAAGATATTGGTTCTGATCAGTTTAAAAGTATGACGAATGAGGAATACCAATATAGAAGGAATAATGGTCTTTGCTATAAATGTGCTGAGAAATTTGGTCCGGGTCATAAATGTAAGTTTAAGAATTTCAATGTGCTGATTGTGGATAATGAAAGTGAGGAGACATCTCTGAAAGTTCCTGAATTCACTGTTGATGATGGAATTGACCTGACCGATTTGACGTTGGACGAGAGGTCTTTACATGTTTTGTCAGTTACACCCGTTAAGCAGACCATTCACATTGTGGGTAAAATTGGTGGGAGATTGATTAGAATTTTGATTAACACAGGAAGCAGTGACAACTTCATTGATATAAAGGGTTCGTTATGAATATGCAATTGCATTACGAAGAATCTGAGTTATATACCATCACTGTGGGGAATGGTATTAGAGTTTCGGGAAGTTTGGTGTATCCAAAGCTCAGGTGAGACATTCATGATTTGAAATTCAGTTACGATTTGAAGATTATGAAACTAGGAGGATATGATATGATTCTTGGAGTGGATTGGATGACTCACTATAGCCCTATAACCTTTGATTTCTTGGATATGACTGTCAAACTGAGTAAATATAGCCGGCAGTACGTATTGCATGGGGATGGAAGTGGTGTAAGTATGCAGTTGGTCAAGGATAAAGAGTTTGCAGAGATGTCACAAGACAAAAGAAGTCGAGTTACAGCTCTTCAATTGAATTCATTACTGAGGACTGATGAAAAAGAGGACCAGGAAGTGCCTGAATGTGTGTTACAGTTAACACAGAAGTACGACGGTTTGTTTGCAACTCCCACATCTTTGCCGCCTCACAAGTTTATCAACCATCAGATTCTGCTCAAGGAAGGTTCTAAGCCCTTTAAGATTCCCCCTTAAAGATGCCCCCTATGCCTGGAAAGCCGAGATCGAGAAACAGGTGGATGAGTTACTTGCGCAGGGTATTGCTCAGCATAGTTCAAGTCCGTATGCTTCCCCAGTGGTGCTTAGCATGAAGAAAGATGGCAGTTGGCGTTTATGCATGGGTTTCAGGAGGTTAAACGAAATGACTATCAAAGAAAAGTTTTTGATTCCTATCATTGAGGAATTACTGGACGAGTTGGAGGCTGTTGTCGTGTTTACCAAGCTGGATTTGAGAGCAGGCTATTACCAAATCCGAATGGCAGCTGAGGACATACCTAAGACCGCTTTTCACACTCACCATGGCCACTTCGAGTTTTTGGTGATGCCATTCGGCTAACCAATGCACCCTCTACGTTCCAAGCTTTGATGAATCAAGTCTTCCTTGCTCAGCTGAGGAAAAGTGTTCTCGTATTCTTCGATGACATCTTGATTTAAAGTCCAAGTTTGGAACAACATCTGGTGGACCTAGAAGTGGTTTTTGGGTTGTTGCAGCAACATTAGTTGTTGGTCAAAAAGTTGCTCAAGCTTATGTTGATTATCTTGGACATAAACCGTTAGCATGGACCAAAGCAAGGTAGAGTGCATCACAGAATGGCCAACTCCATCCAATGTCAAGCATCTGCGGACTTCCTTGGGTTATCAGGGTAATATAGACGCTTCATCCGGCATTATGGTCTCATTTGTAAGCCTTTGGCTGATCTCCTTCGGAAAAATGCTTTTAATTGGACGGATGAAGCTGAGAGAGCTTTTTCAAGACTTAAAGCGAGTTATGTCCACATCACCCATCTTAAAGATGCTTGATTTCTCGCTACCTTTTGTGGTGGAAACGGATGTGAGTGAGAAGGGAATGGGAGCTGTATTAATGCAGCAAGGGCAGGCAATAGCTTATCTCAGCAAGGCTTTTAACAAGCAGAATCATGGTTTGTCTGTGTATGATAAAGAACTTATGGCCTTGGTTTTGGCTGTAACTAGGTGGTGACATTATTTGGTGGGGGTTCATTTCATAGTCAAGACTGACCATCAGTCTTTAAAATATTTGCTAGAGTAGAAGGTAGTCAGTACATCCCAGCATAAGTGGCTTACCAAGTTGTTGGGCTACGATTACGAAATACAATACAAAAAGGGGAAGGAAAGCCACGCTGCAGATGCACTATCTAGAGCTGTTGTTTCTTCTACTGATGAGGTGTGCAAAGGGGAATTTTCATCAGGAGAACAATATGCTCTTACTTCGGTTCAACCTCAGTGGGTGCAAGATATTTCTAATAGTTACAAGGATGACCAAGCAGTAAAAGATATCATTGTGGAGGTTGCTACTCATCCTGATCAGGTACCTGACTTCCAATATATACAGGGCATTTTAAGAAGGAAGGGCCAGATTTATGTAGGTAGTGGTACTGATATCAGATCCTCCTTGGTGAAAGCTTTCCACTCTTCGACACTTGGAGGTCATTCCGACCAGAATGCATGACACAACGATTGAAGGCTTTGTTCTTTTGGCCTAATTTGAAGAAGGAGGTTAGTAATTATATTCAGAACTGTGAAGTCTATCAACGAAACAAGAGTGAGCATGTTAAGTCCCCTGGTTTACTACAACCCCTTCATATTCCTGTTCATGCATGGAAGAGTGTTTCCATGGACTTCATAGTGAAGCTGCCTCTCTCTAGAAAATTGGACACTATTCTGGTGCTGGTTGATCGTCTCACCATGTATAGCCATTTTTTGGCTTTGGAAACTCCCATCACAGCAACTAAAGTGGCAGAAGTCTTTATTAATGAGGTATTCAAGCTTCATGGGTTACCTGATGATATTGTGACAGATAGAGACCCCATGTTTACCAGCCACTTTTGCCAAGCCATCTTTCATTGCTGGGAGTGAAGTTGAAGAGGAGTACATCATATCATCCCCAAATTGATGGCCAGACAGAGCGTGTAAATCAGTGTGTGGAGGCTTATTTATGATGTTTCTGTTGTGATAAGCCTGCCACTAGGAGAAGTTGGCTCCCTATGACTGAATGGTGGTATAACACTTCCCACCATGTCAGCATCCACATGTCCCCTTTTGAGGCTTTATATGGGGAAAAGCCAACTCCATTTCCTTTGGGTCCATTTTCTGAGAGCATCATTCCGGGGGCTGCTGATAAAGTTGAGCAAAGAATTGCTGTTTTGAAACTGTTGCAGGATAATCTTCTTAAAGCTCAACAAAGGATGAAACTGTATGCTGATCAGAATCGTTCTGAACGATCCTTTGTCATTGGAGATTGGGTTTTACTGAAACTGCAGCCTTATAAGCAGACCACAGCTGCTCTGAGAGCATATTTGAAGTTGGCTTCCAGGTACTTTGGTCCCTATAAGATTCTTGAGAAGAATGGTTCTGTCGCTTACAGGTTGCAGTTTCTAGCCCATGTTAGGATTCATGCTATGTTCTATGTCTCTTTGCTTAAGAGGTTTCATGGTAACATTCCTACTGTCAGTACCTCCCCTCCTGATTTTACAGTGGCTGAGGAATGCAACTTATCTC